TTGTTAAAGTGCAATAATAACAGTGAACCTTGACCATTGTTCAAAGTTAAAAAATGCATTGGTTTCACTGGACTGTTCTCTAAGGTGAAATGCCCTTTAAAAACAAACACTTAAGAAAATGAAAATGCGTTTACAAAACACAACCTCATGTACAGGAAAATACAATGCCATATCTGAACAAAATATTTTCACTGAACTTATGTCTTCTCCTGACCTTTGAGTGTGTGCGTGCGTGTGTGTGTGCGTGCAGTGTGTGTATTTCTGTCATCTTCTCTCTCAGATCGACCTCCAAAATGTGTAAATCCTCCAAAATGTGCAGTTCAGATCCCAGCTGGTGGCAGACAGCTGCCGGAAGGCGATTTTTGAAAGTGGTGGCAGTGAGAATATTCAGTCGTCACAGCAGCAAAAGTGGAGCACGAACACAGCCGAGCAGAAAGACGTAGAGTCCTCTGCTCCTGCCCTACATTTGACATGCTCTTCATCGCAGCCAGTTCAGGTATTATCGGTTACGTTTTAGGAGTAGAGCCTGCTGTGTTTGTTTGGAGTCAGGTTTCCGTTTATGGAAGCCACGTGCAAAATGGCAGCTTCTGTCGCTTAAATACAAGCAGTTTAAATTTCATCAACCGATGCCTCATTACATTTTCATACATTTTAATGTTTCGAGATTATAATTACGAAAAACAGCCTTTAGGTTTGTTTGTTGTTCAACAACAACAACTTCATTCTTCACATATTAAACTTTCAGCTGCAGTTTCTAATTTTTTTACATATTAATGATATACTCAGACATTGCAGTTTAAATAACTAGGCAGCGTTTTGACTCAACTACAGATGAAGTAACATTGCTCATGTTTCTGTTAATATCACACTCCAGTTGAAATAAGAAGTACATTGTGTAATCAAACTTTTAAGCTGTAGTTGACACTCCACTCATTCTAACTTTCGCAGTCCCGATTAAAACCCTCTGACTGAACATCGTCCATTGATGAGTATTGACACTGAACACTGGGTAATGTCAACGTTTCTCTAAACACATCCACCATCGCTCTAACCTCAGGCTGCTCTGAACCTCTTTTTTGATTTACTCCGTTGATGTAGTTTCGCTGTTGTTCAGAGAGACTACAAATGTACCATGTTAACTCCGACTTTGAATTTCAATTACCAGCATCATCATTATGCAGTATTGAACACATATTGCCTCATCAACATGTTTTAACTTCGTCTCTGTTAGTGTGAATTGTTGGAGAATTGTTGGTCATTCCACAAATTGGATTTTAAAAAATGTCGGTCTCCTTCAGGCACCTCGACGGCTTTGACTCTACGTTTTAAAACCTCTTGTGGCGATCCTTTGTTAGAGACGTTTGAAAAAGGTTTAATCTCCTCACACCAGAAAAGAAACGACGAAGATGTTCTTCATGAAGAAATAAACAGCAGGTTTTGTCTTTGAATCTGGCTTTTTTTGTTTTGTTTAAGGATTTATTTGTACAAATGGCAATTCCAGTATTGACTGTGCTTTTGTAACATATTGTAAATTGTTATTTGGACTATTTATTGGTAACATTTCTGAAAATGTTTTCTGTTTAACTTAATATTAAGACGACATCTAAAAAGGAAAAAACCTGTTGTTTAAAATGTTCCGTTTGTAAAAGGTGTTTTTATTCTCTGTATAAAGATAGTTATAAAATCAGCTCATGGTTTCTTGTATTCATTGTGTTTAATTTGTGATCAAAGTTCAAATGTTACGATTTACAGAGAAGCATGTGGCCTTTGGGTCAATCCCTCCACCGAGGTCGTAACGTTTTCATTCAGCCGAATGACACAAAATCTACTCAACCGATTTCCTTGAAACTTCAGCAAATTTTGACATTATAATTTCCCAGAGAATCATTCGTGAATCTTGATGAAAATAATCAGGCAATTTGAGAGTGATATCTATGTATGTGTGCAAAGTAAATTAATTAAATTCAATTCAAGGGGAATGTTGGGCCTTGGTTATCAAAGTTAAGTTTTGTCCTCTTTTCCAGAGTAAGCTGAGTGGTTTCTCTGCATTAAAAAAAAGTTATCTTACATCAAAACTAGTAAACCAAAACAATCCCTTGTCATGTAACGTCCATGACACAGAGTCAATTCAGAAAGCAGCATCACAGTGTTGTCACAGGAGAGCTCTGGGATCTGTCAGTAAAGGATTTACCAGATGACGTTAAAACGGCGATGAGCTCGAGAACAAGGTTAGTTCCTGAAATAAATAAACACAGTCTGGTCAAGTTTCTGATTCTCTACTAGTAACACTTCAAACTGTGTCACTTAAGAAAAGCTTCTGTTCACATCACATGTTCATTCGGCCTCCGTGTGCTGCAGTCAGTGTTAAGTTTTGGTCCATGTGACAAAAAACTTAATCCGCAGCTGCATCAGCCTTCATCGGTCTTTCAGTTTCTGCTCCTTGCGAGCACGAGAGGCCATGAGTTTGAAGAAGAGCGCGGGCCACAGCGTGCGAAGGTAGATGGCCAAGGTCGGCAGAGGTTCTGCCAAAACGACATCTCTGCTCCTGTGACGGACGGCCTTCAGAACTGCCAGAGCCACGTCTTTGGGATCCCAACCCATAGCTGTGGTTTTATCCAAAACTGAAAGCAGCGATGCACAAACAAGAAACTGAATCAGGGACACTTCAGTCAGCTACTTTTACAAACTGTTGAGTTACTTTAACAAGTCATTGTTAATGATTACGACTGATTATTCGTCACAATGATTAACATCCAATTATCTTTACTTTAAACAGTCCTGCATTGTATATTTTAATATTTCAAATGCCTCACCTCCGTACTTGGAGCCGTCCCCAGTGACGGCATTGACGGACAGGTTGGTTCGGATGTAACCGGGGCTGATCACGGTCACTGGAATCCCGTAGCACTCGATCTCTGCCCGTAAGCAGTCGAAGAAGGCCTGGGTGGCGTGTTTCGAGGCTGCATCTGGTGTTGAAAACACAGTACTGCTTCATTTCCCATCAACCTCTGGGACATTTAATTAGTTTGGTGAACAAGAAAAGGTAAATTACAAGCTGATCTGTATGGGATGGCAATCTTGCCCTGGATGCTGCTGATGACCACGATGTGGCCGCTACGCCGGCGGACCATGGAGGGCAGGAGAGCTGTGAAGGGAGCAGAGACGAATGACTGAGTTAAAAAGAAACTGATGATAAATATAAAATATTGTGTGGTCCTGTTTACACTTTAAAACTTTGGCGATCTGCAAATGCCTCTTCCTTATCAGTGTAACCATAGCAACAAACACACATTATACATGAAGACTCACATCTGAAGCCAAATGCTATAAAACCTCAGCTCCTCACTAACCCTGAGTCAGAGCAATGGGGCCGAAGTAATTTGTCTCCATGACGTCCCGTTGAACCGAAAGATGGGTATCCAGGATGTTTCCGCGGTAACTGATTCCGGCGTTATTGATAAGGACATCCACTTGTCCATAACATTTCAGGATCTGCTCTGCAGCTCTGTCCACTGTGTCCGAGTCAGCCAGGTCAAACACGACAGTTCTGGGAACATGAGTCTGTTGGTAGAACAACAACAGTTAAACACTGCTGATTCAAATCATTCTATGATTCTTGTATTTTAATTAAAGATTGATGTTCACAGATGAGGAAAAACTGTTTCTTTTAATGGAGATTAGTGTTGGATTCTTATTAAACATACTTGTTTTGAAAGTGCTAAATTACATTATTAATACACACTCATTAAGTGGTACTACAGAGAAAAACTCCCACATCATCATTTATTTTGTCAATAGACAGAATAATTTGGGTTTATGAAACAGTAAAAATCTTTCTCAGACTACCAGTGACATTGTCAAATTGTCCTCTTTGGTCTCTTTAATGTCATCCCTCTACTAATGCCTGCAATAAAGACCGGAACATTATTGACCATCCAATACGTTGCCTTTTTATCTCAGCTCTAGTGTAAACACCTTCTGCTGTGCGCCTGTTGAACTTGCAGTGAGCTCCTGGACGACCTGCTGCAGACGGGCTGCATCTCGACCACACAGAACAAGCCGTGCACCTGCAGCATGAAAAACCTGCGCACACTCTGCAAAAACAAAGAACACATCCAGTTCCGACTTGCTGTAAATCAGTGAAGCTAGATTGGTGGAGAACATTGCGCCAACAACAAGCTGAAGTGAGGAACAAATGAGTGGGAGACGAACCTTTCCCCAGTCCAGAGCTGGCCCCTGTGATGACCACCACAGCATCCTGCAGAGCAGCTCCTGGTCTGAGGCGGGAAATTATCCGGTACAACAGCAAGACCCCGACACTCGCTAGAACCAGCGGCAGCATTCCTCCTCCCATGACGCGCTCCATGGCTCGCTGCACACACGATACCTGCAGACACAGGCTCAATCATTTAGTCAAGAACAGTTTCTCCCTGCTGCAAATGTTGATTTGCATTATTGCAACATTCAAACTCAGTGATCCTGTAAACAGAAGTCACCTGACAAAGGTTTAATGAAAATCTTCACCAAATATGAATGTTAACTGGTTATAATCATTATTTTTGACAGCCCGCAGGGCAAACATTTATAATTTCACAAATAAAAGATAATTAACAAAATGAATAGTTTATTACAGCCCTGCTTTTTAGATGACAAACTGGCATTGTAAAAGATACATTACATAAAAAAACACACATAAAGGGAATTTCAGCAGGACACAGTGAGATCTTCAGGTCTGAAGCTCTCTCGCCCTGATGCCAAAGTGACTGAGCTGCTTCCTGTTGTCCTGAGTATCCAACTACTGTGTCCCCTCTCCAGGATAAATATATATATATAGTATAAAATAATACTTAATATGAGCAGGTTAGGTTTTTTTACACACGTTTTCACGTGGCCGCAGTAGTTATGATGAGCATCGTGACAATAGAAACAGAGTTAGCATTTAGAGACAAACAGCAGCTTTGTGTTGGTGAACACGTGTCTATAGAACACACCGAATGAAATATGTGATTATCWCACAACACAACACAACACAACACAACACAACACATCACAACACATCACAACACATCACAGCACAGCACAGCACAGCACAGCACAGCACAGCACAGCACAGCACAACACARCACAACACAGCACAACACAACACAACACAGCACAACACAACACAACACATCACAACACAACACAACACAACACAACACACGGAGCTCCACGCTGACTCCGCTGCACATGCAGGCTAAGAGGGATGCTAATGCTAACGTTAGCTCGTCCCAACAGTACGACAAACTGACTCAGACTCCAGAGTCGATCTGAAGTTTGAGGTCTCACCTGAACTGTCTCTGTTTTCAACCACAGCAGCGGGACAGATGGCGGGAGAACTTCCGGGTTTGTCTCCGGAACCCGACGACCGGAAGACTGGAGAGGGTACCTGTCATCCGCCGCTGGGAATTCTGGGAGTTGACGTTTCGGGCCTGCCAGTGGAGTTTGGACTCATGTGCTCGTGTCTCGTTTCACCCAGATACACAGTCTTTGCTGCCACGTTATCAGAGATCCTCTGGCTTTGTGTTGAAGGGGAACATTAAAAACTAAACTTGAAACTGAATCAAGGCTCCTTCTAACATCTGGATTTGAAACCAGCTGGGAACATCTGGACTGTTGAAATGAAGGTGTCTAACTCCTGGAGCAAAACGATCCAGATCTGACAATAAACAATAATAATTATTATTATTATTAGCTGGTGTTTCTATCATTAATAACATCATTGCACCTATAAATATCACTATTATCATTATTCCTATCGTAATGACCGGCCTCTTTACAAGTATTAAAAAACAAAGTTTGGGTAACAACACAAGGAGCGAGTCTTCACTAACATCTACTGGTGACCTCATCAAACTTACAACCAGTGATGATGGTGCATCCTAACGCTAACAGACCGAGTCGTCACCCTAAAGAAAGTGTGATAAGCAGACACACTGCTGTGGATCAGCGGCAGGTCAGCTGACAGATGATTAGCCAGCACTGGCCCCAAACCAGCGAACTAATGAGGTTATCTTGGGTCGTCCCTCTGATCACTCATCCCTCTTCTTCAAGCGTCTCTGTCTCCCTGCTTCAGTCAAGTTGAGTGAGAGGCAAAAGGCACTAGAAGGTTTTCCGTGCTCTGTGAGCATTAATGCAATTTATTTAATTCAGTTCCAAAATGACTGAGTTAGGACTCAAACACACAGACGTCTCTGTGGTTTTTAAGTGAAACACAGGCTGAGCTCACAAAGTCAATGTGAATCGGAGCCCAGCAAAGATTGCAAATGGAATCTTCTCCAAGTTAAAGCCGGCAGCCGTAGTCTCAGTCGTCTGAGGCTGTTTTCATACACTGAACAGAGCGATTAAGAAACTGTACATTTTACCTACGTTAATTTCACTTGTACATTTCAGGACATCAGGATGACATCTACCAGTGTCAAGAGTTGAACATGTTATTAACTAAATGTTTTGCAACCTACTCGTCCTTTTAAATCACTGTTAACATGTTTCCCTGTTATAGTGTCATAAACTGAAATAAATATCGTACACAACTTATTAGTTTCCTAACCTTCAAGAAAGTTAATATATTTCTGATATACTTTTTGATATTTTTGGGACATTAAAGTTAAATATTATCCAGAAAACGTTTCTTTGATAAAAGTATCATATTTATCCGCTAATTTCTAGCAGAGAAAAAAGTGTTTAAGTCAACAACCCTTATCGTGCTAACCATTATAAGATCATCGTCGCGCTTGGAATTTAAGTAATTTATACCTAAAATCCACATTATTATTCAATTGTTGCTAGTCTTGTTCGATCACAAATCATCCTTCACTTCATCTATACTTGTTTTTGCTCATAAGTTTAATTCCATGACTTTAAAATTGTTAAACTGCTGATTTAAACAATAACGAGCATCACTGGATACACAAAATCCAGAAAGTATTCATTTTGAATCTGTTTCTGTTCTTAAAATTCCATTATGAGGGTTTGGTTTGACTTTTATGTTAAATACTGCACATGATCAGAAGTGTGTATAAAATGTGACCAAAAATGAGTATTTTCTGAAACAAGGACACATCATTTTCACCTAAGATCTTACTTGCACTCTTTCAACCAAAGAATTTACATGGACAAGACACATTCTCAAATTGAGGCTTTTTGCTCCTTTGTGGACATCGTGTAGAATCCATTTAATGAAAACAGTAAAATAAAATACAGAAAAGTAAGTTTGAAATATCCTAAAGTTTAATGAAAGGGTGATGTACTGATCAGCAAGAAAAGGGTACAGTAAAACTACGAGGGAAAGGGGAAAAAGCTTGGTACTCAAAACATATCTGTCCGTTTAAACAGCAATACGATTCAGTCCAGAGGAACTGCGGCCATTCCCTTGTGCACTAACTTGTGTGTCAAGGATGCAGGTGGAGGGCACAGGGGAGGAGGCGCAAGGGTACTACAGAGATAAACGTACTGCTGTTGTCACAAAGAAGTAAAGGAAATGTAAGGGGAAAAACAATTCCTTCTAGTTTATACTATATCCCTCTGATCAAAGTTCAAAATGGAAGCACCCACCACATGTGCGGAGCTAACTGCTGGGCCTTAACATGACTTCCACTTTTCTTACATCTGGGGTTGGATAGGTTCTGTTTTTTTGTTTGCTTTTTTTCCTTTTTCGGTTGGTTCTTAAACCCTTTCAGAGTGCACTCATACAGCATAGAGTTCATAGATCTTCTTGGCGCAATACGCCAGGGCAGCCAGTGCTATCGTATTATGGAGTCTCTTTCTGTGGACGTCATCCCTGCGTACCAATACCACGGGCGTCGAGGAGGTGAGTGTATGCAGGGGCAGCCGTGAGAGTTTTTGGCTGTCATATTCCACCTGGTACTTACAGCAGGGGTCGAACTGCCAAGAAATCCCGTAGAGGGCAGAGCAGGCCACGCTGAGGGCGCCAGCAGGCAGCGCCACGTAGCGCGAGTATTCAACGGGCAGTGAAAGAGGCGTCAAGAGGCAAGCAGCGCCTGACAACACAGCCGTCTTGTGCAGGCAGTTGCCAACTGTAATCCAACGGGCCGTCTCATCTCCGATACGTGTGGGCTCAATAACAATGTATTTATACTGGGCCTCCAGTGCTTGCTCCAACTCATACTCAAACTGGTCCTGCGCATTCTCTCCATTGTAGATCTCATGCACAATGTAGCAGTCTGTCGCCGCCATCACTCCCCTGAACGTGAACAGAGAAAAATTTTGTGGACAACTTTATTGCAAAGCAAACATTCCAAAACAGGTTATCTTGTCTCAAAGTTTCTCAACTTAAGTTTCAGTGCATTTACTACATGACAAATCATCACATATTCCTGCTTTGGCTTAAAGTAAATCTGTAATATTATATATTATTATGTATTATGTACAAAATTATATATGGTATGTCATATTTGGTTTTATTAAAGAAATGTGTATATTATCTGCTTCTACTAAAAGGTACTAGTGCAAGATTTTATTGAATGGTTATATTTTTCTATAAATAGAAAAAGAACATACTAACAACATGAGAAAAAGGTTATTTATTGACAAACATTTCCATGATCAGTATCTGCATTTGTCATTGTTTTCAGCATCTATATGATCAAATGTTGATGTCTGACCTTCAGACTACATGGTGAGTGACTGTGAGCACACTTTTACAACATGAAGTCATTTCACACTGTTTTCAGCCGAAAACAAGAAAACCCGTTGTAAATGAAATCACTTCACATTTTAAACTTCATTGTTTTTACTGGGTTTGAACACGTGACTTAGTTTTCTAGTTTTTACATCACTATCCCTACTCCCCAGCTACAAGATGTCTGCAAACCACTTGGTCTGACCATCAAACATAAACCTGCATCGTGAGAAATGTGATATTTTAAACACCAATTTAATTTCGATATTTTAAGTTACCAACTAATTATTAAGCTGTATAATTAACACATGAGTGGATCCTCTGAGGCCTCGCAGTACATGACTTGATAACAAGCTAACTCTGTGCACTTGATCGATAACAGGCTTATTCTGCTGCACAGACAGCGGGACGTGGACTGAGAGCGGGGGACAGCCTGAAGTTGGACTGGACACCGGTGAAAGTCATGTGAGGATCACGGATCGGGGACACCGTGTACCGGAGAGGCGGTTAAGTAGCTGACGGTAGAAAGTTGGAGCTGTGGACTGCTAAGTTGAGAAGCCACTCACTTTCGGCACAGGTCGAAAAAAAACACAGCGGACAACACAGTTAGCTCAGCCGGGGTTTGGAAGTGTGTTAGCCGAGCCACATCGCGCCAGAGCCCGCACCGACCCCGCGGTTAAACTCAACTCCTCCCCGCCCCCGCGGTCAGTCGGCCGGTGTGAAATAAACCGAAACATCACATGAGCCGCTAGTTTGTTTCCCCGCTGACGCTAGCTAGCTGTACACGCTAGCCCGCTAACGTTAGCCAACCATGGGATAAAATCCCGACTTGTCGCGTTGGCGTTTAACTTTGCGCCCCGCACGACGCGCACGTTCGGCGTCGGTCGAGCAGCGAAATCGACAAAATGACACTTCACAACAAAACATTCTCGTTTAACGGCCAAGATGTGGAGTGACTGACCTCTCCCTGCTCACTGGGACACCGCGCCTCCTTCCCAGCGACGCCATGTTGGAGATGCAACCGTGATTGCTGTTGACGTATGACGGCGCCCAGCTTTCTGGGTAATGTAGTGCTTCGTGCGCTCGAAGCGTCGCTTGGGACCTGAATGCGGACTACAGCTCCCATAATGCAACTACTATACAGCGCTCCTGACTGTACGTCTGTTACAGCACGTAGAAGTTTGAGGTCAGAATGAATTGTGAATACATGTAACATTAATTACAGCAGGTGTGTGTGTGTGTGTGTGTGTGCGTGTGTGTAGAATAAGAATGAATTGTGTAAACGGACATTAAATGAAAACATGAAATTAAATGTTTGGTTTCCTGAGCAGCACGTGTACAGATTGTAACAAAACGCACATATGTTGTTTTGTAATAGCACGTGTGTTGTGCAGACTTCTGTGTACTCATCCATGCTGTGTGCCCGCGTGCTCTGTGCGTGTGTGCCCGCGTGCTTTGTGTGTGTGTGTGTGTGTGTGTGTGTGTGTGTGTGTGTCCGCGTGCTCGCTGAAACCTGACGCGGTTTGTCAGTGGCAGATTTGACAATGGCCACGTTCAGGAATCTGCAGGAAGCAAATGCTGCGACACACGATACGTAAATGAACGCGAGTGAACAGAAGTGGGACCAGTAAAGATCTTCTTTATATACCTGTGGTTTTTATAAATAACTGTCAGGACCTCAACTATTCAACAGCAAATCAAAAATCACTCGAACTGCACGTGAAGATGCAAAGTTACAGTATTTACCTGTTTGTGAAAGATTAATCATATCATTGATTTATTATCAGCAATCGATAGATAGTTATTGATCAGATAGAGAGATGGATAGACGTGCTTTATTGATCCCATATAGACAGATGTATAGATAGTCTGACTGAATCATTAAATACCAAACAAATGCTCAATATCACACGAAAATCAAAATACTATAGTTTAAGTATAGTATAAGTATTACAATATCTGCTCATGCAACTTGCAATACTGCCACTAGGTGGTGACAAAATAAGGCCCTTCACCAGCAGGCTGGATCACTGATGTGACTCAAGGTCTGATAATGCATTAACTGGATCAACAACACACATCAACACAGTGTATGTGTTGTTATTGAGTTTGACGTTCACTTCAAAAAGTAAAGAATGTATACAGCTTCCAGTGTTTCCTTTATTTCATGCTGTTTGTTGCAGAATGTCAGTTTATCAAGGAGACACATTATACATCTTAAAAGTAATAGTTTGATGTTTTATATCCCTTTGCTAAAACTCAAATGTGTTCATCTGACTCAATAGATGAAAGAGCTCAGTTCAAGTGTTTATTTTGTCATTAACAATTTTTTTTTGTCAGTATTTATGTCATATTCGTAAAAATGACTATGTGAATCCACATACTTTGACAATAATGTGAGTATTAGATGTATTTATTTACACACAACAATAACAGAAAAGAAAATTGCTAAGCACAAAACAATAAAGAGAATTGGTACATCCAACACATGCTCATTTGAAAGAACCACCCGCTCAAAACTGTTTAATCAGCATCTGACTTTCAAGAAAACAACAAATATAAACGGAACTACAAAACGAAAGAATGGTTTGAATACCTTAGCCAATCAATAGGTGTGTGCCACCTAAAATAAACTTTTACAAAGGGAAAGTTTTTCCTTATTAAAGCAGATAGTCTGCATCGCACGTTGATATTCGTCCTGCCAGTGTGTGTTAAGTAACCTGAGGTATTTTTTCTCATTAACACTTAAGATTGTCAACTGCAAACAAAACTCCAGAGGAGCCGTGAAACGGGAAACAACGGTGAACCATTGTTTGTCAGTAAATTGTTGCCTTGACCATCATTAAAAATAACTGTTTAAATGAGGAGAAAACAAAAAGCCTCAACCACACTGCAGAATGTAAATGCCCTGAATATATAGCACTGCTGTTTGTGAAATGCTGGTTTCAGCAGAGATATTGACCCAAAAACACTCAAGTGTTGTGCTGCATAGTGACAAGCTTCAGACCTAATTTGTCATGAGTGTGTGAGACATTTAACACGTACAATGGAGTAGATGGTTTTACCTGCAGCACTAGACATCCTCACATTGTGTTCTTTGGTTTACTATGTCATGCACTTTTGACTGTGGACAGTAAGTGTCTGTTGCTGGGAAGAATGGAAGTGGACAGAGTAGCACTGGAACTAAATTGAAAATTTGCGAAATAAATGTTTTCAAAATACAGATTATATATTTTTTTTTAATTACCCATTACCGACAAAATGTAGTATACCTTTTTTTGCAGTAACATAGAAAAATAGAAATCATAATAGCTTGATGTTTTAAAATGTGTTTAGTATTCAAAACCTATTACATTAGCATTTCAGCTCATAGAGACACAAGTTTAAAAAACACAAATGGAAATAAAAAATAACAAACTCAAAGAATATCAAAAGGGAGTTGAATTATAAAAAGTCGTCATCATCTGAGCGTCAGCGAAGCCATCACTGCTTCCACCCGAGTCATCACAGAGAAAGACAGCGGGTTGGTCCATCTTCATAGTAATGTTCACAACCAGTGAGTCCAAAGCAGGACAGAAGATTTTCAATATATTTTTCACATGTTCTCATAAAATACCCAACGCTTGCTTAGTGTCATTGATGGTTTTACAACCTGGAGGTTTCCGTCTGAGGTAACAGGCTTTGGTTTTTGTTGATTAGTTTGCACATCACGACCAGCGGATTCACTTCCTGTTTCTGGTGAATCTGCTTCCCCACATTATGGACATAACCGTAGACTTATTGTTCAGCGCACAGACGTCTTCGCCGTGTGATCCGCTGTCTCTGGATTCACTCAATTTGCCTGGAAGGTCCTTAATTGTGTATCAGCCTGTAACTGCAAAACATGCTGCTGCTGCTGTCGCCACCACATTGTTTTTATTTCCTGGGAGTCTCTTTCTCCTTCTCTGCCGCGGCTGCGTGGGGTCATTGATAAATGTGTTCAAAGTACTGAGGCTGAGGATTCTCTTTGACATATTTCTGAATGTACCAGCAGGTCAGGTGGGCTTTCAGATCCTCTTCCACCACAAAATCCATGGCTGCCTGTCATCACACAAGCATACAACCACACATAAATTGATCTGCACATTTTTCATATGACCCATCAGATATTCATGAGTGAAATTTAGGTTCATGTGCACACACCCTAACCTTTCTCAAAGATGGTTTCTGTCATTTTCTCACACTTATTCAGCGAGTGTGGTTTTAATTATTTGATGATATAAAAACAGAGTGAAACCTCATGATTGATTGCTTAGACTGAGTCGTGATTGGTTGAGCCCGCAGCTCTATCCCCCAATCGCTACTGTGCAGACTCTTGATCCAAATGCACAAGATGTTGTCAGGGATATTTTAGCTTAATTTAATGTCTTTGGGAGGAAGTGGAGACATGTCGTCCATCTTCACATACAGTCTGTGGTTGAACATGTCAGTGAACATGTCTAAAACTAAAAATATGATTTACTTTCAGACTCGTAATGAGTTTTACCTTGGCCAGGTGCTTGGCGATTCCTCTCCCTCTGTAAGCGTCTGGAACCTCGGTGTGTTGCAAATCCACCGTCTTTTTTCCAACATATTCGTACAGGAGAACTGCCCGATCGTGAGATCCTGAGGGAAAGACAAAGGTCACTGCTCTCAGGTTGTTTTAACGTGTTAACGGATAATAGATAACATGTAAAAATGAAAGTGTGAATGGTTCTGGTCTAATTTCCAAACAAATAGCTCACAGTGACAACTGACAATGACACCTACTGTAGGCATGCTACACAGTTTTATGGTCGATTAACTGTAAAGTCTGAGCAGTTAAAACTGTGTGATCGGGAACAGCTTCCAATCTACGTGATGAGTCATGAGTTGACAATGTACGATACAATAATGTCATTAATTATCAAACTCTAACTTTAATCAATGGCAATATAACTATATCAATATATTGCTTTTTGTGCAAGCACAGTGAGGAGGTACAACACACGTCTGTCATTCTCTGCTCATAACGTTCACTCAGGCGCAAAAAAATCAATCTTTAAACTTAGAAGAAAAAATTTGACGTTTATTGGGATAAAAATTGATTGCGGCTGATTTATATATTTTATAATCCTGATATCATTTTTGGCCTTATCCTCTATCCCTAGATTTAATCAGTGAGCATTCAGCCCCTTCAAAACAACAGGGATCGCTGGTTTGATACCATGAACCACAGTGGAAAACATCACCCGGCCTGGCCAGGTACAGACAAGTGCTTGTGTAGCTGGGTGGAGAGACAGACCACACATAAAGATCTTCATTCAGGGAACAATGGCTGACGTCCTTAAGCTGTGAACACATTTGTAATGCAAAACACTAAAATCCACAAAAAGATAAATGGAAAACACACAGATGTGCTTTGCCTTGTCACAGACAGAAGGATTCCAGAGAGTGAAGTCAGTGCCACAGGCCTCCAATGGGCCTGAACTAAACCAAACACAGCACGTTGATTCCAGGAATGTGAACGAACTGTGGTTTGTGTGTAGCTTCTACAGGTTGGACGAGATGAACGAGGCTGCTGCTCCACTTGGAAAGTTGAACTCGTGTTCATACGCGTCAGTCACACAGTTCAATGGCCGGAGGCAGCTGAAGGCTGAATGTTTGGCTTCGTGTCAGGGAGAGGAGAGACTCTTTTCACCGCGGCGCAGAGAAAACAAGCTGCTGCTGGAAGTCAAGTCAGGGGAACCACTGGCCTGTGTTCAGCTCCTGACACCCGAACAGTATCTGATCGAACACGTTGACACTTCGACCATGTGCAACAATAAACCCATCGATGCCCCGAAGTGCAGCTGGAGGTAAAACAAGAGGCCACGGCTGCGATGTCAGCAGCAAAGAAACCCACAGCAGCCGGGGTAGGGGGTTAGCGTTAGCCAGCTAGCATGCTAATGTTTACATGCTGAACTCACCATTCAGTCTTATAACAAACTGCCGACGCTTTCTGTCGTGCTCCACCTGCATCTGAGAGTTTCCGGCGTCGAAGGCGTTGTTGGCCGGGGCCGCCTGCGCCATGGTGGCCCGCTGGAGAACACGGAGGCCGCTGCGCTCCGGAGCAGCGGCGCTGAGCAGAAATGGCTAAACCGAAAAATAATGAAGGGTCAAAGCAAAACACTCCGGAGGAAATCAGCTGTGAGGTCACATGGCGAGACACAGCCAATCAGCGCCCGAGCTGCTGCAGAGACTCAAACTGTGCACAAGTTGGGATCAAATAAAATTAGTTCATATGAATTATAATAGAGAGTATTTATCTAATATTAGTTAGTCCTCTATTAAACTAGTTAGTCGTCTTTGATATTAGTTAATCATTTGTAATATTAGTTCATCATTTAAAATATAAGTTGGTTAGTCGGTAGTCATTTATAATATATGTTGCACACACACACAAACACACTTTTATACTCATATTGATCTATTATCGTATAATACACAAATACAGTATACATCCTCACTCAATCACATTTCACATTACATTACAAAGCGACTTGCAATTAGTGCATTCAACATCTATGAGGGGCCATTCAGGGTTCAGCATCTTTCCCAGAGAAACGTAGGGATCCAACCCTCTGATTGGGGGACGACCGCTCTACCCCTCAGCCATAGTGGCTGTGTGCCACTGAACAAGATGATAGTACTTTTCACAACCCATAACCATCTGTAGTGAAAGATATATTATGTGCATATTTCTCTTAAGTATTTGATTTTTATCACCTATTTTTATTCTATACGTTCACACTTTCTCTTGTCAACCTCGTTTTGAATATCTGCTGCTGAAACAAGTGAATTTCCTCAGCGTGGGATTAATAAAGTTGAGTATAGTTGATAATGTTAACCAACTAAAACTATAGTAAATATGATTAAGAAAGTGTATTTGTGGTATAAAAGTCTACTGCTTTACATGTTTTTCCACATACAATAAAATAAAATGATTAAAGACATTTCAGCTCTAACTGCATAATGTGCTGTAAGAGATTGAAGAATATTTTAATGGTGTGTATGAACAGACATAGTTTGTGATGGGTCAGGTCAGGTCACAGCTCACAGACACATGGTGGCATCTGAGGGCTGTCAGCAGTCAGACCCCTCTGAGCCTCACATTAGTTCATGTGTTAACTGTTTGCACTGTGCTGATTTAAATTAAATACAGAATCTTGATATAAACTTCACAGACATTTGGAGAATTTGTAGACATTATAGAGGGGTACATCAAGTTCACTGAAACGAACGTGTGGTAATCCTGTTAAGCTGTCGAACTAATCCCACAAAACTCTAACGAAGTTTGTCAACTCTGTTGGATTACTTCTGTCTCTGTGTGTGTGTTTCTTTTGTATAGACGTGCTTGGGATGTGCAGGTTTTTCCAGACTGAGAGGGAGCACACTTGTTTTTGCGCTGTTAACTCAGTGGTCTCATTTAGTGTACCCACATTCTACTGTTGAAGATGATGTCCAGGTCGCCAAGGTAAGTCCAGTTACCAGGTTTTTCTCTAAACAGGTAACTGATCCACTTTGTTGGCTCACTGAAATATTAAAAGGAGGTTATTTTATTTCTGTGAATTTCAAAGCTATAATTTAAAGAAATGGAATTGCAGGTTACATATTGTGTTTATATATAACATGTATAACACTGTTCCACTTCTTTATCGACAAGTGAAAGACAATATATTTTCCTGACATGAATACGAATAATTTCCTGACACCATCAATGCTTTAATTCGTTTAAGGAAGTAATCAAATTTTACCAGAGAAAAAGATTTTATTAAAGCACCATTGATTTTGTGTTTTTTTCCTCTTGTAAGAAGCATCATGCTGTGAACATGTTGCTTGTTGATAAATAAATGTGCTACTACAGAGATGTTACAAATGTTTTCCATCAATTTAATTAAGTTCTATTAAAACACAAGAATTTAATTAAAGTGATTTGTGCTGAGCTGCCTCAGTCTTCTCAACCACAGGTGGCCTGAGCTCGTGGTAAACTCCAGGACCAACACACCGGCACAGAAGAAAGGAGGAAAGGTAAGAACCAAACTTCAGCAGGAAATTCAGACTTACTGATCAGGTCATTTTAAATGCTTTTGACTCTCAGAAGTCTGACTTATTATATTACATTGATTTGAAAACATTCTTGAAATGAAAAATGTATTTTCTCATCTTCTTTAGATTCAGCCAACACATTTGCATTTTCCCAGTTTCCCAGGATTGTTTCTAAGCTGTAGAAAAAAAGCACATTATCGATGTAAAACATATTTTATCATAATAATAACAACAATAATCTCAACAGAAGATTAAAAGCGTGTTGAAGTTGTTATTAAGTGTGAAGATGGCACGCCATGTCAGCATAACTGAGGCATTCAAAATAAAGATTTTACAGGCCTACATTCTCCAGTTAAATACAAATGATTTTGATATGTATTGAGCCGCGCTGACGGACGTCTTTGCTGATCTGTTTTTAAGTCTGAGGTATAGCATCTTACATCTTTAACAGTTTCCTCCAGCATTATGTTTAATATAAACTGTGTGTAAGAACATGTTCAACATTATTGGGCGTCACTTGCAATGTCCTGCACTGTTCATTTAACGACGCAACTACCTCAGAGTCGGGGCATGTTTGCTTACATTCAGTTTGATGTATGTTACCATTGATGACAGAAAATCAAATGTGTGCAGTTAAATCCTGCACAAGTCACTGAGTCAGGACTCTTCAACCCTCTTCTAATTGATTTCTGCATCACGGCTCCAGCCACAGATTGATTGCCTCTGCAGTCGGAGAGGTTGCGTCTGCTCAGACTGGAATAGATTAGAATAGGCTGTGTATGTCTGATGACTCCCCCGATGCTCAAGTGTGATTAAGTTTAACGTGTGTGTGTCCTCGATCACAGTGTCGGTCAGATGGTACTTAAGCAAATTAAGAGCTCTTGTGAGGATTACAGGGTTCTCTCCAGTGGTGATTGGATTGTATGTGCCAAAGAGTCCAAGTTGGGATGGGGGTGAGCAGGAGGTGTGATGTTTGACATCTTCATTTTTTCATCCTCTTACCTGAAAAACAGATGGAGCTTTCTACCTTCTTATTTTCTTTGACAGTCATTGTTAAGTGTCGCTCTCATTCTCTTTGTCTTCCAAAGGACCAACTCACAGTGCCGACATCTGGGGGAGGTAAACAGGCTGGCAGCAGTGTGTCTAAACCCAGCGTCGGCTCTGGCAGGAGCAACAGCCAGAGCAGTAGAGGCAGCGACTCGACTGCGAGCGTCGGTAAAGTTGGGGGCAGTTTGAAAAGAGGCAGCCTCGGTCACCATGGCAGCGTTGGCCACCAGGGTACCAGACAAGCATCTCAGCCAGGAAGACCTGCTCTCCGCCTCTGCAGCAGCCGGAGCTTCTCGTCCCTCCACACCCCCTCGCTCAAGACTGCTCCGTTCATGAGGAGCAGCCGCTCTCTCAGCAGACTCGACCAGAGATCCACCAGACGAGGTGAATTCACTCATGTGTCATTATTATTATATCTCATAAACTTAAACAATATTTCAGCCTTGAATCTTATATTTTTTCAAAAAATCTAAACGTGAGGACTCATATTTATTATGCTACTTTTTCTTACTCTGCTCCACAATAAAGAAATTGATTGATTAAAAAAAGGACTTTAAAGATTGTGAGAGCAAATGATGATAAATCTCACCAAAGATGATTCTCAACCTGTTTCATATAAAGCTGTTTCTTTACTGTTGCCTCTGAACAGAGTCAGACTGTGAACATCCAAACTCACAAGATAATAAAGGACAAAATTCTGACAATAAATCCCTGGATTCTGGCCGACTGTCGTCCTCTGAGGAGCAAATCAGGTTTGTAGTTGTTAAAAAAAAGGACTTTTAATCTATTGTTGTCCTGCAAAAATGCTTTAATCCAACAAATGGTTATTAAAAACTGGGTTTGTCTGCCTCTTGTTTTGGTTTTGTCATTAAGGGATTACGACGACCAGTGTCATGGTGATGATGTGGAAAAAATGAAAACAAGCAGCTCCTCTTCAGTCTCTACTGCTGCATGTTATCATCACTGCAACAGAGTCAAGGAACAGGTACTTTTAGTACATTGTGGAGTTTAATCAGTTGGAGTCAAGCATCACTTTTGTTAGAAGCTCATTTAGAAGTTCATTTGCATGCTCAAAGCTAAGATTTTCTACCATGGAATCCTTAGTCTGCATGTTGTTTTGTGAGATATTTCATTCGAGGCCAATCAGTTGTGATCAGTGTCTTTGCATTGAAGCTGTAACAATGTGGACAAGTGTTCTTTGTTCTTCAACCTGTTAAAGTTTAAATGAAGCAGATAGTATGTCAGGACTTTAGACACAAATGGAAAAAGCTTTTTAAACAAACAGATTAGATGATGCAACATTTAATCTTTTTTCCAACAGACTAAAGATGGAATGTCTGCCGCGTTCTGTGCAATGACCTCTGGGATGAGACGCAACTGGGTCCAAGCTGTGTTGAAGAATGTGAGGCCAAGTGTAACAGCTGATGTCACAAGGTAACTGGCGTTGTTGCATGGCTGTTATCAAATTTGTGGGACTTTAAGAATCTCCCTTTGTGAAGATGTTTCTTATCTCGTGCTCACAGCTCCCTTTCAGGGCAGAAGACTCGACAGAGATCACATCAACCCTATTCAGAGTCGACCGAGGCTGTATGTGAATCTGAAAACCGCTGTTGGCAAGAAGTCAGTGACAAGGCAGAGGATTCACATCAGCAGCAGAGAGAACAGGAGAACAAACTGCAGCCAGAGAAAGAGCAGAGCTGCAGTGGTAGTAACTCAGTTCCGCCTCCTGTGAGTCCTCAACAGCAGGTGGAGGATGACCACGCTGCTCCCTCTGATCCGTGTCCGCCACAACCTGGTGAGTGAACTGAGATAAATAGTCATTTTTTCAGTTATTGCTTTTAAATGAAACGTCCCAAAGGAAAATTGATCCCTGCAGTTTGTATTACAGTGTTTTGAGAAATGTAATTATAGGCCACTCGAAGGGATTATTATTTATGTCATTACGTTAAATTCAGTCAGTGAGGATTTCAATCAATTTGCTTGGTATGAATGGTTCTTCTGTATTCCTGGTTTGCACAGACGTAGACATCTCCATAAAAGAGGAGGAACCATGGTCGTGTGAGCAGCAGCAAACTGTGCAGCTGGTCAAAGAGGTGAGATTTCATGTTCATTGATCTTGCTCTTCCAATTTTCACGATAAGTTACACATGTTTTTGTTGTTGTTTTGTGAATATGGTGTCACATGCAGGAAATAACAAGCAGCTCCACCGTCTAAGAATCAGAAGAGCACAAATGTGTTTAGGAAATTTAATATGAGAGACATGATCACATGTTACGAGTGACAGTTTGATTTACCCACAGCTGGAGCAAACACAGAAGGAACTATCTCGACTCCAGCAGATAAACAGGAATCTGCAGGATGAACTAAAACTTGAGCGAGAGACACATTCAAGAGAATCGGTTCTTCCACAGGTAGAATTTTATAAATGTTAAATTCAGCAGGTAAAGAACAGTTTGTCTTATTTAAAGCTCTCTGTTGTCCTCTAGAATGATCTTCTTTCAAACTCTTCGGAACAAGCTTTGACGTTACAGCGAATGCAGAAGTTAAACCACGACCTCCGCGTTGAGCTGGAGACGCAGAAGAGGAGTTACGAGGAGGCCAGAGAAGCCGAGCTACAGCGAAGAGTAGATCTCTTGGCTCAACAGGCTCAGTTACTGGTCACAGGCGATGCCACAGCTCTCGCACAAGCTCATCTGGAGCAAGATCGACGCTGCTTTCTTGAGCAGCAGAAGGAGTGGGAGCATTGTGTGTCCTCCCTGAAGTCCCAGCTGAGTGCCAGCGAGGAGCAGAAGAAGGAGGCTGAGTCCCGGCTGACTCAGCTGCAGCAGGAGTTGCAGGGTCATGTTGATCACCAGCAGGAGTCCGATCGCTTGCAGAAACACCTCCAAGAGGTAGAAACCCAACTTTGTGCCAATGAGGAAGCGCAGGCTGAAAAAGAAGCTCGCCTGCAGAAGCACCTGATGCTCCTTCAAGCAAGTCAGGACAGAGAACGGAGGAGCTTGGCTGCCAGTCTGGAGCAGGCCCAGCAACACTCACAGGACCTTCAGGAGAAGCTGGACAGGGCTCAGGAGGAGATGGAGAGCCTGAGCAAGACTCAGGCCTGGACCAGAGAAATTGAGGTGGCTCAGCAGCAGCTCCAAGAGGAGCTTGCACATACGGTATCTGCTGTACAGAACCTACAAGAGGAAAGAGAGCAGCTTGGCCGCCGCTGTCAGGAGCTGCAGAACCAGTTATCTGACGCGGAAGGGGAGGTGAGCAGGCTGCAGAGCCGCTTGAAGACAGATGAGACCCACTACTACAATCTTGAGCACTCATATGAGAGAGTTTGCGAGGAACTGCAGCTGGCTTTGGGGAAGGCGGAGCAAAGGGAGTCTGAAACGCAGGACATGCGAGAAGGATACGAGAGACTCCTGGACGGGAAGGAGCAAGAGCTGAGTGAAGTTCTGCTGAAGATGGAAGTCTTGGGAAACAGCTTGGAGGAGACAGAGGTGAGGCTGAATGAAGTGTTGAAAGTTTCCAACTCAAATGAGAGACAAAAGCAGGTGACTGAGCCTCTCACTACAAGAAGAGAAAATGGAACAGAAAGTGACAAGCTCTCTGACAGCTCAAACACCACAGACGTTCAGTTCCACAGCAACTGCTCTAATAAACGTGCAAGAAACAGGTCTCGCTCGATTGATCTGTCGTACCAGCACATCGTCACAGCGGGAGATGACCCAGACAGGTTTACCTCTGTGATCCAGTTACTGGAGAGGAAGCTTTATGTGACAGAGGAGAAGCTTAAGGACATCACGCAAAGCCTGGAGGAACACCGTGGCCACATCAGCTGCCAGGACCCACACCTTTACTCCCAGCTCACCCAGAGCCGAGCCACGGCCCAGCACCTCAGTCTGCTGCTCCACAGCCAGGCCAGGCAGAGTCAGCGCTTCGCCCAGGAGGCCGAGAACCGCTGCAGGATGCTGGTCGGCAGGTTTCAGCTCGCCCTGAACATCGTGCAAGCCTGCAGGGACAGGCTCCAAGTCACCCCGATTAATGTTACACACTTTGAGAAGCAGCTGACCGCTGTTGCAGCCTGCCTCCAGCAAGGAGAGAGAGATGCAGAGAAACAGCAGCATGAGTCACACAATGCCAGCAAAGGAGAGGACAAAATCCTCCACGATGAGACAGTAGCTGGAGCTTTTAGTGGCATTAGTGCTAAAAGTAAACTCACTGAAACATTTCCAATGGAGAATGGCATGACAAGTGTTAGGAAGTGCTTAATGAGGGAAATATTTGTCATAGGAAAAATGCTGTCTGTCCTTCAGAGTCAACGTGGCATCGGCCAAATATCCATAGCAGTGAGAAGCGATGAGGGGAATGTGGCACACAAGTACAAAAGCATCATCTCCCAAATATTAGCCCTAAGAAGAGAAAAAATAACTCAGCCTAGGAAAATGGGATATGACGGTGATGAGCATTTGGAAAGTGTTATTGGTAGAGGCTGTGCTGAGGCTGAGCTCATTTGCGCGGCCTTGAAATTTCAGCAGCGATATGAGAGTCAACAAGTGGAGCGTGAAAAGATGGGTATGGCCGATATCAACCCTCCAGAGTTGGCTCCGTATGAGGAGCAAGTGAAGGTAGAGGGCAGAGGTTTAGAGGAAGCTGCAGAACCAGCTGAAAAAAAGGTGGAGGTCAAGAAAGAACCGGAGTGGTTAGGGAGACTTACATCCCGGCTGCAAAGAAGAGCCAAATTCTTAAACCAGCTCTGCCAGGAGATCTCAGATGGACCCGTCAGTGAGGGCAGTGTGGACTACAGTGGAGAAAATGGTTCAGAGGTAGACACGGACTGGATGCAGGAGCAGGCAAAGCTGATTTATCTGTCAGACCGGCTGCACTTGCATTTAGAGCAAGAGCTGCAGCAAAGTGAGGTGCAGCAGAACAAACGGCAGGCTCTGTGCAAAGAGCAAGACACCAAGGCGATGGATGAGCAGGAGGCGTTAAATAGCACCTTGTGTCTGCTGCAGGAGGACAACAGCGTGCTCAGGGAGGAACTGGAGCGTGCTGAGCAAAAGATTTTATCCGTAGAGATTGGGAACCAGAGACTCCTGGAAGACATACAGAAAATCGAGGATTATCACGAGGAGCGGATGCAAAAACTGGAAACCAATTTTCAAGAGAAGATAGGAGAACTTCAACAGATCCACGAGGAGGAGATGAAACACTTGCATGGATACTATACCAAAGAGAAGCAGAGAAACTGCACTGAGGCGCCTGTTTTCAATGAAAGTAACTCTGATGCTCTGGCAGCAAGAGAGGCTTACCAGAAACATCTCGAGCTTCAGGTAACAAAGATCTTATTTCTTTATCAAACAAATAAAATCTTGAATCTTATTTGAATTCCTCAAAGTTTTTACAGTTGGAAAATTGTAGTGTGATCACAAAAAAAGGTGTGGAAAGAGGTGTTTACTGTACAAATTGAGGTAAACGTGTGTATGTACATTACTTGATGGCTGATTTCTGAATTACAACGTAGGATCATGGCGTCACTGCTGTGGAGGAAATGCACAGGAAGCTGATGGTAGATCTGCAGCAGCAGCATCAGATGGAGGTGGCGGCACTTCTGCAGGAGAAAGACCAGCTGCTGCAGGAAGAGACGGCTGCCACGATGGCAGGTAAATGCAGTTCAGGAGGAAATACCAAAGTAAAAGCACTCTAGGCTCATCATGAGAATCAGTACATTAATTTTATTCTGTTTATGTTTTGCCACGAGGCGAGTTTGCAGAATGTTTGACTGGGTTAAACTGGCTCAAGATCAATAGGCTGCAGTTTAGTTAATGACAAATAAGGGACACATGGGAACAGATCATTGGAAAAATCATTTGGTGTAAGAATTAGTTCACAAGAGGCTTTAGCCATCATGAAAAATTGAAAGTAAGTCTTGAAGTCACACTGGAGAATAATTAGGCATTACATGTTATCACTTTTTCTTCCCAGCAATCGTTGCGATGAGGAGAGCCCATAAACAGGAGCTGGAGAAAAGCAGACAGTCTCAGCACATCAGGCAAAGTGCTGACATCACACAACTGCACATTGAATACGAGTGAGTACTAAACCCATCACGTTGTTTTTACTCTCAGACACTAAAGAGCAAAGGAAATCTTACTCTATCACCGCAGCATTTATTCCAGGGATGTTGCTTTGAATTTTACCGGGTTGTGATTTGTTCCTGGTAACTTGGTGTAGATCAGCAGGTGCAGAATCACTGCAGGGGTTACCAGGGGTTTCTAACTGCACCCATTTTTAGTTTCCTTCCTTGGTTCATCTTTCCCGTAAGTTTCGTGGAACAGACGAGTGAAAAACTTTATCTATCTAAATGATTCAATGAACACTCAAAGAAGATTTAATCAATAACTACTGGACACTGAATCTGTTCCCAGTTCCTCGTAATATTCTTTTTTGTTTACTATTAAAAATGTTTGAACCTAATATTTACCTCCCCCTGTAGTTTACAGCCTCATCCAAACTGTTGCACGCCTCATTGTACAACATCATCTCACATCTCCAGGAAGGAGATCCAGTTATTGCACAAGGAGCTGGAGGTGTTGTCGGTTCAGCACACACAGAAATGCCTGGAAAACTCTCAGCTGAGTCAAGAGCTGCAGAGCGAGAGGAAAAGCTCGATACAGCACCAACAAGAAAAGCAAGAGCTGATAAAGAAACAGGTATAAACAGTTCATCTTACTCAGGTCCTGCAGATAGGTATTATTTAATGGTATTGACTTATGTTGATAGCGTAAACATTGTATTTGTGTGATTCTTCAAGAGAGAGATGGATGAAACGTCGCAGCTACAGTTCTCGATGAATCGGAAACATTCACATGTGGCCGCACAAACAACTGACTTCTATGAGATGGAGGTGAGTGTCCCTCGTCATAAAGTCTCCCTCCTAAAACTGTCTGCCAAGAAACATATCATCTATTAGGCAAGATGAGCAAGAATATTTACTTTATCATGCTGTGTTGATTCATCACACCACAGGTGATTCTGCGGGCGAGGGAGGCCGAGATGCAGTTCCTCCGACAGGAAGCTTGTTCACTCAAGGAGGAGTTGAAGCTCGCTCGAATGGTACTGAAACCTCTCAACCTCTGGGGATCACAAAATCTGATTAGAGATTCAAGAAAATCCTCTGACAGACAGACTTCTCCATTTGTAAAATCACTATTTACTGTATGTAACAGATGCAATTGCAAACTTTAAAGAACCCAATCAAGTTGTTTCTGTGGCTCGTCTGTTAATATATTTATTATTCACATGACAAGAGCAACTAATTAAAACTGTGATTTTATATCGACAGGACAAAATCTATGCCCAGAACAAGCTGAGGGCCCTCTACACGAACAGCCAGGACGAAATGCATCATGACGTCAACAAACACAACACTGAACATTTCAAGTTGGGACCTTGGTCTTCAAACAGAGACACATCGGGAAAGAGTGAGATTTTCAGTCTCAGAGTCTAATGAGTCTTTAGTTGGTCAGAGAATAATGATGCATGTTTTGAAATGAAGTCTGATGATTTATTTTTTACTTTTTGGGAAACAGAACATGCAAACCCTCACAGAAAGACCCCTGGCTAAACAGGGATTCCGATAATATCCAAGTATTCCATTAACGCCATCCCTCTCTGATGTTGCACTCTTTCTCAGAGGACTCCATGACCAACGGTGCTTTTCTGAAGAAAACTGAGAAGTCATCGCTCACACGTCAGATCAGAGTGAGATCGAAGGTAAACGTTGTTCTTCAGTTAATTAATGTTTAATAGATTGTAGTTTATAAAGCACACAACAATGTGAACGCATCAGAAAGTAATTGTAATCCAGCACACAAAGAATACAGAGTTTAAGAGGATGTTTGAAGTAAAAATGCAGAATGTTTCTCTCATATGAACCATTTTCAAACCCAACAGTGAAGAGTGTCTCTCAAACTAAACATTGATGAATTACGTTTTTTTGTCTCTCATTTATTTGAATGTGTGTTTGTTGTGCAGAGTCTGAAAGACGGCCTCTCTGTCCAAGAGAGAATGAAGCTGTTTGAGTAATTTTGATCCGAAGATTACAAGAGGTTGGAAATCTGCTCATCAGAGTAAGACGGCTGTTTGTCGAGTGCAGTTCAGAGAGTGTGTGTGTGTACATATATATATATATAAATGTATATATCTGTAATGTGTGTGTAACTTTTGTTGTTACACAAAATGTGTTGCATTATATTTTGTATTGGTTAAAAAAGCTGTTTGTGCTTCATGCTGTGAAAAAAGAAAAACCAAGCATCAGTCTACCACTAGAGGATGGTAAAGTTCTAAGGTCTGTTTTCATTAAAAGAAAACTCGTCAGTGTTGCTGCATCAGTTGCAGAAAAGCTGTTATTAACACATTTCACCACTAGATGTAGCGTGATGCAACATTTACTCTCTTTTTAATCCCTAAACCTTCAAATCTGTTCTTCAGTTGCTGCAAACGACAGAACTGAAATCAAAATAAAATGAGAACAAACATTTTAGAATGTTTACCATTTCTTTTAATCAATACATTTAAATATATGTCATGTAGATTTTGTATTTTGAAATGTTTTTATGTAAACAAGGAGAATAACCAAACTCTGCTTCCCTGCTGCAGTATATGAAGTAAATAAATGTTATTTACAGTCACAGTTATTAAAGTTACTATGGTTATGTTATGTAAGATAAGTAAATACCTTACAATTGAAGAGACAGGGACATTAAAACACTGATATCTGCTCTCACTGTTCACTGGCGGAGCATCAAGTCTGTGTAAGTGATAACACACTTCAGCCTGGTGTCCAACGTTATACCACCTGTCGTACGGAGGAAGAGCCAGAGACGTTTTGCAATAACTTCTGAATGACTGTCTATCATTGACCATCACCTCTGTTCTTCTGAAGACTCTGTTCAGTGACGTGCCTCAAATCACTGAGAGGCGTGTCACAGTTTACCTCAGATGACCCTTAAAGTGTAATATGTGTAGTTATCTCCACAGATCTGATTTCTGTGTAAATTATAAATAAAAGCTCCTGGTGTCCCTGGAGCTCAACGTTGCCCCAGAGTCACATTCCTGAGGAGGAATACTGCACCTCATTAAATCCCAGCACTCATCTCTCCTTTCCTGTGTGGACTGTGTGTGAAACTGTGCTCATGTGGAGTGTCATGAGCCGACGCTTTGAAAGAGCAGAGCTGCTTCTTTACAGTTTTACATCATGGATATTATTCTGCACATCGACGGTTTTACTGGCTCCAGTTAAAACTAAATAAACTAAATAAACATCAGTTCTTCACGTGGTTCTTCCATCGCACTCCTCTGTCTTCAAACAGCAAAGTAAAGTTCATACTGTTGTATCCACAGACTGTATTTAAAGATGGAGGACATGACAGTGCCCCAAAGTATCTCAATCGCCCCCTGGTGGCTGGCTACCATACAGATCATAGACCCCCATCTCCTCCATGTTAGCAGATGGGACATGAACTAAACTTAAAAAGCCAAAGTACACATTTTAAATACTTATTTGGTGCAATAACATGTTCTGAAACAGTGGATATACACACTGAGGTAACTAGGTTGACTATAAGTGAAATATAGGTGAAACCCACGATGAAACCTTTTATCAACATGTTAAACTCTTGTGATCTGGTTAATGAGATTTCCTGCATTTCCTTGATAATTTCTTCATAATTTTCTGCTAAATAGATTAAAGATTAGAGTGATTTTGGTTTTGTTTCTGTATTTATGTGTGTGGGCATGTCTATATATAGTTATGAGGGCCAATTCTGGTTCTATACCATCAACATTTTGACATTGTGAGGATATTTTGGCTGGTTCTCACAAATACATAAATAAATTGGCTATTTCAGGGTTAAGAATTAGGTTTAGGTTAGAGTTAGACATTTAGTTGTGATGGTTAAGGTTATGGTAAGGGGCTAGGGAATGCATTATGTCAGTGAGTGTCCTCACAACTATAGAGAGACGCCCATGTGTGTATGTGTGTGTGTTTGTGTGCACCTGCAGTGTTCGCTCTGAGTCGAGCTGCCCCACAAATGCTCATGACTGATCCATGCACGATGTGGAAACACCAACACACAGGTGCACCTGCTCTGGCTGTAAAAATAAGTGGCCCATTTAGTCATGCAACGATCAATTCTCGCTGGAGCTGCTCTGATCGGTGAGCACGGTCTGCTTCACATACACTTCAGACTTCAGTTTGCATCGTGGCCTGACACCACAGCTCTGATTCGTTCTCCCCTCACACAGACACGAGTCTGTGTTTGTGTGACCAGCCAGGAGCTGCTGCCACAAACTGTTTCTGTTTCTCTCTTTACTTATTTTTTATCAGCTTGATTTGGATCATGCTGTTACAAAATCAGGTCCAGAGGCGTGTGACCTACATCCAACTTGTTTGTATCAAACTCAAAATCTGTCAGCGTTTCCATGACAATGGATGAATCGTGTTTCCTTCACCTTGAGACGAATACAAATTTGGCACCAACATCAATCAGGCAACACCAGCCTCGGCACTGGAGACAATGATGAAGATGATGAAGATGATTGGTATCTGGGGAAGCACTTTAACGCATTCACCTCTTGTATGAGCTGCAAGTAAAAAAAGGAAAGCATGTGCAAAAAAATATGTGAAGTTGCAAAAGCTAACACCTTGTATAAATCACTTAATAGGAGAAATAGTCTGATGGTGATAAAACTGATTACACTTCTGCCACTTGGAAAACAGATGTGTTAATGACTGAAAACATTTTTACAAGGATCAAACCATGTCAGACCTGAATTCAACCTCAGTCCTTTCAGTGTGGAGCTAACATGGCCTCCCTGTGTTTACCCACATGGTGCGAGCACTTCATTATCATGAGACATGCAGGATGTTGATTAGGCTGCTCTGGAGCACATTCCCTAACTGGAGCAGGACGATTGGAACAGCTCCCAAAAAAAAAAAAAAGAAAACCCTGTGTCTTGTGCATGCACAGAATTTTATATTTCTTTGTGCTGGGTGGGTGCACGACGCCTCTCTTCCCCACTCACAGGCTGATTTTATCGGTGTTGACTGCCAACAGTCTACTGCATCTCTAAACTTTTCTCTTTGTTCTGCATCTTCCTTGATCACTCGTGTGTTTTACTGTGTGAAGGGCCTGAAACCATTTTATTTGAGGTTCTCGCTTTATTCCTATAATGGATTTGTGTTTTCTCCTGTGGTTATTTTAAACTAATATTATCCACAGAAGTTGAAAAAAAAAACAGTGGGCCTCTGTAAGCACTTAAAATACCAAATAAATGTACCAAGGTGATGGTATCTTAACAACATAACAACTAGTACTATTATAATAATGATCATAATTATGTGATAATAAACTTTTAGCTAATCTGCTCATGATAATAAAGTAATATCTGTTCCTGCATTAAATAATACATGAGGAAATGCTTAATGAAAAGGAGTTAAATATTGTTATATATATTTGTTATTATGACTGTGATTATGATTATGTGGTTCTGCCAAGTTCAGTAACAGAAGAGGTCATTTAAAACCTCAGCAGCAGATAAATGTACATATCTTTAGCAAATGGAATAATGACCCACAGTGAGAGTGAGCAGAGAGCTGGTGAGAGTGAAGGAAACAGACGGTCACACAGTTGTATGATCGGAGTACCAGCCCTGCTCCTAATTCTGATTCTGCTCCTGATCCTGATCCTGATTCTGCTCCTGATCCTGCTCCTGATTCTGATTCTGCTCCTGAGTGTCCTGCCAGAAGCATTTTTTTCTCACTGAGCTTCCAGTAAACATCCTTGTGCTCTGGCTGGTGTCTCCTGTACCACACAGTGTTAACCACAACATGACGCAACACTTGAAATGAATCAGGAGGGCGTGTGCTGACAATCTGAAAGGTGATCAAACGCTGCAGTTCGTGTCCTGAGTGCGGTTGAGCCGTGGCCCACTTTGATCCGCTGCACTGAAGCTTTAAATAACTTGCTGCTGGAGCGAGGTATCGGCCAGACTCCGGGCTCTCTCTGTCCTGATGGCACACTTCACATCTGGTCCTCCATCCCCTGAACCCATAACCCATTTACAGACCTGACACCAGAGTAACAGTGACATACACAGCAAAGAGTCCCGAGTTGGTTTTGATGTTTTTTAAGGGTTTGTATAGCTCCACAAAATAGTTAACACAATGCCAGAGTTCCTTCTTTATGTTCCTCAACTTGCAAACACAGAGTTAAACAACACTTAAGGATCAGACAAATAACCCTGCTGTGAGTTACATCAGAGATACACGACAAACTAATCAGTTCAAATCATTGTCAGCTCGTGTTTCACTTCTGTTCAGTTCAGCTTCTCCTCCACTAGTGAAACTTTTTCCAAAAACAAAGGTCGAGAAGAAGACGTGAAGTGAGGAGCTGACACCGAGCTGGACTCACCTCATGTTACAGGAGTTCTGAGATCAGCTGCTAGTTTGAAGACAGAGCTGCTGCTGCTGCTGCTGGACCAGATGCTGTCTGGCACACTCCTCTCCACAGGGAGGCGCTCTCATGACTTTTAATCTTCCGTATTCAAAGGTGGAAAGGCGGGATCAGTCCAGAGCAGGACACAATCTGATTGGCTAAACAGAACCAGGTGGTGGTGGGGCCGTGAATTGAACACTTATTTTGAAAATAGTATCAGACGTCATTAAGTACAAGACAGTATTAGAGCCTCATAAAAAAAAATAAGAAAAATCAAATCGGACATTTCGAGAATAAAGCTGTAATTTTACAAGAATGATATCCGAATTTTTACGAAAAACAAAGCATCTCCCGATCAACAACTTATTATTTCTATTACCTGTGACAGGAAACTGACACTCAGACTGCTGAGGCTGAGCTTCTTCCTCGGAGGCCATTGTATTGCAGTGTCACACTCACCTGTGTCTCTTCTCTGTGGGGGCCTCCAGTGAATCTGGGTCAGGATAAGTACTGGAACTATTCATCAGCGCTGTCCTGAGAAACTCACGAAAGAATTCGAAACTCCTGAGCAGAGCATTTCTTTTTTGTTTTTTTTAAAATGAAATATCGACTGGATGAAGTGCTGTGAAATATAGTTCAGATATTTGTAGCAACCAGATGATTAATCCTGCTGACTTTTTAATAGTACCACCATCGGTCCACACTTTTCCACACCAATCAATTCAATTCATAAAATTGTATAATTACCCTTAACCTGTGTGTTTGCCCAATAATTTACGAGCCGAGGTTAACAACACCTTGCAGTGGGTTCTTGCCCTGTTGACAGACTGATTTAAACCAGCAGATGAATGAAAAGGTTAAAATACTAAATCATTTCATCTTCTCCTAAGACGTTTAGTTAGGTTATTTATGCCCAAACACCTGCAAAACTCATGGCATCCCCAAAGCAACCGTGTGCCTAAGTATAATCTCACTGGGACGAGCAATTGGTTCTGTGATACATGTGAAATCCTCAGACTCCCTCCTTCATCCAGGCTTACACAAGACAAATGAGTGATGCTCATCTAAAAAGTGCCCACATTGGATTTTCATCATTTGACGTGTTCAACAGAAGCTGGTTCTCTCTCCTGAATGAGTCAAAATGGAGCGCACACCACCCACTCTGTGATCTGTGCCGTTTTAGGTAGAAAATAAAGGCAACATGGCAGAGTCAGGAAGTATGAATTAAATCTAAAATACATTTCTGTAGATGTGTAAGTAATGGGTAACCTATATTCCTTAAGTTAAAATTAAAATTGTTGGTCTTCATGTCCAGTAGTTGTCTATTCCTGAATAAGAAAACCCAGAGAATTCAGTTCAACCAATGGGTTTATTCTCTGTTCACCTCTGGTCCGTCTCGTGCACATCAGCCCAGAATGAACCGCTTGGTTCTGTCGACCCCGAGCACTGCTGATCAGCGCTGGTGCAACACTTGGTCTGGGAAGAGCACATAGTCTCCAAATGCCAAGTATCTACAGTGACACTGTGGAAGGGAGGGGGAGGAGGAGAGCCGAGCAGTGAGCAATAGTTCACTTGATGTGGGATACGGAGTGGGATCTGCAGCAGGATCAGATAGCACATATACCAAGAAAGTGTGAGACATGGAAGAGGAGAGACTGTCATGACTCCAAAATGAGCTGCGAGGAAGTGATTATCTGATCAAATCGGACCCTGGAGACCATTGTTTTCAACTATAAGCCACTTTCTGATTTCTGCTCTCTTTCTGATCTACTGGACCTCAATCGAAACCTTGAAGGACTTGACAGCAGGAGTGTTTGTGATGGTCTCTCTGTGTGGAGACGGAGACATGAAGGTGCTCTGCAGCCGTCCACTCTCATGCCTCAGGAGGATGGAGGGGTTCTACCCATAACAGAGGAGAGGAGTTGAAGGAAGCCTGAGGAGAAACATGCAGCAGTTCGGCTGAAAGCTCAGAAAGAAACACAAAAAGCTGGAAATCAACGTACATCAGCACCACCTGCACGCAAGGTAAGAGAAAGCCTATAATTATGACACTCAACACCCTCCATACATTATATTTTCACGTTTTTAAAAGGAAAAGTGAAGAACGACTGTAGAGAAACAGCCTCGTTGAGATCACAGCCCAGCAGGCAGAGCGTGTGTGGCTTCAGAGAGAACTGAGGAGTAATCGCACAGAATATTAGATATTAATATCTCTTAACGTCCTGCTTCTATAGCAACTACAGCACTGAGAAAGAGCAAATAATCTCAGTTATTGTCATGCTGCAGTCTGGACTCTTTTAATTCAGGCCGAGGGTTTGACACATACCTCTAATTGAGTCTCACCCACGATGCTTGAATCTGCACAGAACATGTTTATTAAATTAATCATGCACTATTTGATTACCTGCTGTGTGTACAGGGTATTAATGTCTGTCTGTTCATAGATGTAGAGGATCCATGATGGGACACCTGCAAGGCAGCTCTCTGAGCCCATGACATCCTGTTTGCTTTGCAGTTTTACGTCTTTAAAATACTGATCATCTTGTCTCTTTAAGAAAAACCACAATTAGCAGTCATCCTATGGGCACAGAGAGACAGTTTTATTCATAAAACATATTTAATACAGAGAGGTAGATGCAAGGTGCCGTACAGGGACATTGAAAACAACAGAGACAAAAACAAAATTCTAAATCTGAAAGCACAAGTAAAAACAAAAAGAAAAAGTAGAGTAGAATAAAAGAGGTAAAATAAATAAAAAGGATATTTGTTTAGAAAATAAGGAGTAAAATAATACAAATAAAGTAGAACTATGTAAATTAATAAAATAAAATACCATGATGGTAAAGTTTAAATTAAAGGCACTTGAATAAAACAGTTTTCAATCTGTTTATAAAAATTGCAGTTGAGACCATCATCATGTTCTCTGAGCTGATGTTATTTGATGTATTCATGTAATCTAATGTTTTTCTTTCTCGTGCCCGAGTCTGTGTTTCCTGTGAGAATTTGTTTTTTTGAGCTGCAAAACAAATTTGAAAGTTGAAGTTGAAGTTGATGTGATGCTCAGATATCCTAAAATCATTCTCTGTATCAGTTATCTACAGTATAAAAATAAAAACGTCACGTCCGATCCACTTATTTCCAGTTGCTGACCAACATGTCACTGTGCTGACGTACAGACATGTACTTGAAATGCTTCCCTCGAGGTCCCCGGAGTCTGCAGCGTGATGGTGTGGCAGTGACTATCTTGTGACATGAAATGAGTGAAGTTCCATCAGAGCAAAACACAGAATCTCAACAGATGAAACTAAACTTCTTTCATAAACAATCATATGAGAGACATTTCAGTCCGTGCACAAGAACCAGGGACTACTTCAGCATCTTTTGATATTATTTTGTATTATTTACACTAATGCATGTCTATGATATATAACATGTCTATAATTAGCCATGTTATATATTTGTATTAAAATGTCGGCCTCTCAGTCAGATGGCCCGTCGCTTTGGTCCTTGACTGAAAAATCTCAACACCTACAAAATAGCGATGAATTTTTTGACATTCATGGTCCCCGCGCTACAGATTTTGGTGATCCTCTGACTAGCAGGTCGACATTTTCAGCTTTTAATTAAAGTGTTTTGAGAACTATTAGATCCTGATTTTGATGAAATTGTTGTTACAGATATGCATGGTCCCCAGATGATTTGGGCAAACCCCTGAAGTTTGGTAGTACATGCTCATGGAGTTCTGAGAACTTAATTGATCTCTCAAGTTGAAGATACATTTTCATCGTTTTTAGAATGATAATTTTATAATTATAATTATAATTGGCATCAATTAGCTGTAAATTAAATGGTAAACTTTAATTTCTAAAGCAGCATGAATTAGAAATAACAGAATGCTATGCTGGGTGAGCTGAAGGCTGCAGTTGGGAGGGATCAGGATAAAGTTCCCTGTTTTTTCTAAATATTATCTCCATTAATGTGCCTGAAGCGATCCCATCGATTCTTACCGTCAAACCATTTGTGTCTGAGGTTGTTTACTCTGTGATACCCAACTCAGTGCCCCGTCTTTTTCCCCTTCCCATATTATTATCCAATTCAGTATCACAGGGGAATCACACAGCCTCATCACTGTACTCCACCGACTCTGATAGTTGTACCAGCTGGGGAAGATCCGTCACATAAAATGGCAGGGTATTGGATTAGCCGGCTATTTCTGTACCTTGTTGATCAGAGAAAAATGTATCTTATTATACCAGATTATTTCCAGTTCGAGACAAGAGAGAAGTGGAGGTAAGACAGCAAATCAAATGTTTGCTATGAAATGGTACGTACAATATTAAATGTAATGTCGCATTGATAACAGAAGTGCAACATACTGTAACCAGTATAATAAGAATAATAACAATAATTATAATAATAATAAAAGTGATTTAAACAAATTTAATGAAGTGAAAATAAATGAAATTCACAAACAGTTCAGTATAAATCAGTTTTAGTACGTTTTTTATTATGATACTTAAAAGACAACACTGTCTCAGACTTATTTTCTCTGACAGGTCGTTCCACAGCTTCCGGACCCAGAACGTTCTGTCCCCTTTAGTTTTCAACATGCTCTGTGGAGCATCCAGAGGATCTCGATCTACACAAAAGTTCATACAGGATTAAAGATCTGAAAAATGGAATCAGGAGCAACAAAATGTCTTCATGATGATTAATCAATCGATCTTAAATTAATAAAAGAGCCAGTGATATGATTGCACCACAGTTAGAAGCTGAGTTCTGAACAGAGTGTTATTTTGGTTTTAGGGGTTGTGGAGGGAAAGAAAATAATAATAATACAAATATACAAAATAAAATAATACAAATAAGATTAAATATTTAAACTGGGAATTGTTTAATAAAATAAATTGTCTGTACCAGTGATAAAAGCTGCTTTCAAATTGGGAGTGTTCGCGAGAGTCAAAGTAGGCGTTCCTACGACTCATTTGTTCTTAAAGTGAGAAAACACCTGTAAGACAGTCAACAATTGAGAACCACAAAAAAAAGGCTGTTTCAACAGTCAAGGGGTGAAGAGTTTACAGAATGTACAACTGTCCAGGATTTAAAAAGGATTTGAGGTGATGAAAACAAGAGGTTTTTAAACATTGTAATTTAAAGACATAATAATAGCTCCTTCATTGGACTAGTGAACATGATGCACAGTGATAACGAAGATAACTTAATCCACCATAGCAAGATATAAAATTATTAGAATTATTACAGTGCAATATAATTATCTTTATGTATTTATCCACCTGTCCTTTAAGGTTCATGCACTAACAGTGTGGACAGATGAATGTATATTTTACATTTTTCTGCTTTTCTTCACAGGAAACTTTGATTGTGCCTCAGCTCTTGATTCCAGTCGATGCTGAGTGCGTGTTGGACGGAGCCGTGCATTTCCTGTGAGCGTGGTCAGGTTAGTACGAGCTGGGCTGATAGTGTGAAGCCACGTGACCGTGCCCCACTGAGGCATGAGTGTGGGAAGGGCCCACCACCACAGCTTCGTGTCCTGTGAAGAAGAAGGCCTGAGACTGAGTACCATGCCCGCCGTGGGCAACTTTGGCAATTGCAAGATTCACACGAGGCGCAAATGCCATGGGCGGTTTGTCACCAAGAGCGGCCAGTGCAACATCCATTTCTCAAACATGGATGAGAAGTCACAGCGGTACATATCTGACATTTTCACAACTTGTGTGGACATCCGCTGGCGATACATGTTCCTGCTGTTCAGCCTGGTGTTTGTGGTGTCGTGGTTAACGTTCGGTTTGGCATTCTGGGTCATTGGCCTCCTACATGGGGACATGGACCATCTCAGAGGGGACGAGAGTTTTGTTCCTTGTGTCATGCAGGTCAACACCTTTGTGGCAGCTTTCCTGTTCTCTATTGAGACCCAGACGACCATTGGGTATGGCGCTCGTTGTGTGACAGAGGAATGCCCTGTTGCCGTCTTCATGGTGGTCTTTCAGTCCATCATGGGCTGCATCATCGACGCCTTTATGATTGGTGCTATCATGGCCAAGATGGCGAGGCCAAAAAAGCGTGCGGAGACTCTACTGTTCAGCCACAACGCAGTCATCGCTTTACGTGATGGGAAGCTGTGCCTCATGTTTCGAGTCGCTAACCTAAGGAAGAGCCACATCGTGGAAGCTCATGTCCGCGCCCAGCTCGTCAAGCCTCGTTATACAGAGGAGGGCGAGTACATCCCACTGGATCAGATTGACATGAACGTGGGCTACGACAAAGGCACAGACCGCCTTTTCCTGGTCGCACCCCTCACTGTCATACATGAGATCGATGAAGAAAGTCCACTGTTTGGCATAAGTAAGCAGGACCTGGAAACATCTGACTTTGAGATAGTGATTATACTCGAGGGGCTGGTGGAGGCCACAGCCATGACGACGCAGGCGCGCAGCTCCTACCTGCCCTCTGAGATTTTGTGGGGTCACCGCTTTGAGCCGGTCATCTTCGAGGAGAAGAGCCAGTACAGGATAGATTATGCCTACTTTCACAAAACATTCGAAGTGCCCTCCACCCCGAGATGCAGCGCCAAGGAAATGGAGGAGAGAAAATTCCCGACATCAGGGGCCAACTCCTTCTGCTATGAGAACGAGCTGGCCTTTATCAGCAGGGATGAGGAGGAGGAGGGAGATGTAGAGAAACAGGAAGTCAGGAAGTATTCATCAGAACTGGTGAATGAGTCGATCACTTCCAGAGGTGAGCAAATGTCCTCTGTAAGAGAATCAGAGATTTAACTGTGGGCTGTTGCTTGTTGTGCTTGTTTCTGAATGCAGGGTAATGCAGTTGTCATGTGAAGAGCCCTTTGACTGTCACTCTGCTGACATGAGGACACCACTGAAGACTTTACAGCTGCAGGTGGAGGAGCAGCAGAACCAATCTCCATCATACAAGCAAGAAGGAAACTCATCACTGGAGGAAATGAGAGTTTTACTTCCCTGATATGGAAACTGAGATTTATCGAATGCAAAGAAAAAACTGTTTCACTTTGCAGATCCACAAAATCAAGTGCATGACATTAGCATAGTTTTCTATGAATGTTTTTGGACCGGTGGGGTTCGAAACTGACACTTTGCAGATGATGAGTAGAAAACTATACACTGGGATTATTCCTCCAGATTGACAGCAGACTTCATCTTAATGATATAACTTAAATGTGAACAATAAGACTAAGTATTTTACATCATACACTGTCAGGTAATAGCTGGTGTAAAACTGGAGACACATGAAAAATCCATTATAAAACACATGTATTCATACGAACAGGGAAAACTATACATCACTTTCAGCCCTTGGGGAAAGATTTGACCTGAGCAGATGTTGAAAGTGTCTCTAAAACCTTTATGGCCAGAGAAAGTACAATTACATTTGCCTGTAGTGCTTGTTACTTGTTTACAAATGGTAATGTATTTTTCACTTTTAAAATTACAAGAGAAAACTCTTTTAAGATTAGGATTGGAATGAATTATCTCAGGTTAACGTTGGATGCTATTATAGGCTGATATGGTGGTTCGGCAACATGATAGTGTCCAAGACTGACTTCCACACGTGAGCCTATACTATACATTGGAAGTAACGCTTGGTAAGTGCTGCCTTCAAATGGAATTATACGAGCAAATGGTTATAAAAGAAGTAGTGAACACATACGCTTTGATTTCAGGTGGTTAAAGAGGCAACGGCAACATGGATGCCTCGCTGCCGGCGTCTAGAAGCCGGAGAGGTTAAAACATGTTGAAGGAAATGCAGAGCAGTTGAGAATATCAACATTTTCCTCAGACAAAGCCTGTTAGCAAATTCAAAACTCTCCAATATTTCAACTCATCATCCATTGATGCCATTTCTGAAAATGTCCACATACACATGGTCCAAGGTTGTGATCATATGGACTCCTCTCGGGAACAAGGTAAACACGACCATAATTGAAGCCAGCAAAGGTCATTTCTGTCGGTAAAGAGAAATAATAATGTTTACAGGTTACTTAAGAGCTGACAAACTCACTGGTTATGTGGTTAATCCATCCCTCGCACACTTACTCTGCTATTTTTGGTCACGGAGAGAAAAAATACAGCAACCTCCACAAACGAACACTCAGAGAAAGCTTCACAGGCCTGCTGGGTATTGTTACGGACGTGCTAAACAGTTTTTACACAGTCACTGGGCACAACGATTAGCAAATCGTCAACTGAAATAAATGTCACTTCTTCTCAGATGAAATATGATTTCTAAACAAAAAGTCATCATCATGACCTGTTTGAGTCTATAAACACAAAATAATATGACCCAAAGACAAAGAATAGAAACCACAAAGTTATTCACACAACTCTGTGTTCAGCCCAGAGTTTATAAAGATATTCCACATATGAGTGGTGCCACAGTAACGATTGGGGGATGGAGCTGTGGTAGTGATGTCTCACCGATACACAGGCTCGACCGATCAGGTGTCAGTCTCAGATGTCAATCATAAACAGGACATTACTGACTCTTGAATGTTTAGGAACATTTATATGGTCTGTAATCACATTTTGACAGCACAATATCAGGACGTTTTAACGAGCACTGACTCAGATGTCGTATATTATAATGAAAATCTCACAATAGATATTATTTATAGGAGAAGCGATGAAGTTATTAGGTCAGACTGTGCACCACTGTTTCACTTATTCCAGCTGAGATGGATTAGTTTTCCCAGCATCTCAAACTAAAAGCTCCATGTGGGTTAACTTTCACACTGGACTGCCTTTTCAGCAGGTTTCAACACATTTGTATTAATATCTCTTGCTGACTTGTGCTGGAAATATCTGAAATAGAGACTTGTTCCAGAAAACAAGTGGCAGTTCCACTGCCACAGCAGGGCCAGGGACTTACTGCCAAGGAGAATGAAGAACTCTGATTTGTACATTTGTCAGGCCCTTACTGTAAATACATATTTTTTTGTTTGACACTGGAAATAACTCTCTTTGTCTGATTGACAGAAATAACATCTACTGAACTGAATGACTTTGACCTCCTCTTGCTGTCTTCCACTCAATGCATTTGAAGCAATCATGACTTTAAGTTGCACCCTCTCCCCTAGTTTGTCGTGTTAGACAACAATTCATGGATTGTGAGACGAGTAAAAGAAAATCTCCTGTTGACTGCCACAATAAAATATATTTCACAAAGCCAATGCTTTTCTTTTTTTCCTTCATGACAGTACAGGGATGAATCATAGTTATAATGCATTTGTTATAGAGTTATAACTAAGTGCAGGAGCGGTTTGATAAACACAGAGGAATGGACTGTAGTATATGGCTGTGATTTGGTGGGATGGTATCTGGTTGGGGTCAGAGGTGTATTCTTTCACTCTTATGCAACCATACAGGCACGTCTTTGCAAATGTACACACAAGACTTGGCAGAGTCATTTGATTTCACTGCCCTGTAACCTTGAACACTGGAAAAAGAAATGATACACACACACTCACGCATGCTCGCAGTCACGCACACACACACACTCACACACTTAGAACTTAGAATAGCTTTGGTAAATATTGTCAGAAATCTGTGTGGGCATCATGATACTAAATTCGTTTTTTTATTGATTTAAAAACAGAGAGGGTTTAACACATAATCAATAACTGAAATAAATATCTCTCAAAGGTATAATCAATGTTTCTACTGAAAATACTGCATCATTAGTTCTGTGTAAATTATATCTATCTAAGCATAATGTGGTCCATATCTCGTTTAATTCAATTACCATTCAAATTATGACCTGTTAGCTAAAGTGCCAGAGAGTGGGTGTATGAGATATTCTGTGATCCTGGCACAGGCAGGCCCATATCATTTGACATTTAAGAGAATCATCATGCTTTAACTTTCAGGGATTTATCTCTGTGTCAAATGAAAGTATAATTTCTCACTTTGAGAGCTTTGCATCCTCTGAGATGTGCTGTTCGATGGAAGGAGCGCTCAGAATAAACAGGGATGCTTCTCACCCACTCTGCAGTGTTGGAGGATGAAAAGCCGTGGAGGGTCAGTCTTCCAACATGCAGAGTGGGTTGTTGAAAGGCAAATTCAGTCTTAATTGCGGCGGCGCGCTTCTTCGCTGGTTTCTCACAGCTGCCAGACGGAGGTGGAGGGTGGAAAAAAAAAAGTAACATGATGCAACAGCTGCACCCCTTTTCCTCAAGCCAGAACTCCAGACGCTTCAGGCCTGGATCGTATTCTTGCTGCTCTTTCTATCAACAGTCGCTTTTGACCAAAACCTTATCATCTGTTTCACTTTAGAGCTTCTTTCTGCTGATGACTGAAAATGTTGCATCTCTTAAAGTTTTAACTTGAACTGGATACAGACAACAGACAAAAATAAATACTGGTGACCCACCTGCCTACTTACCTACATACCTACCTACTTGCCTACCTACTTGCCTACTTACCTACATACCTACCTACTTACTTACCTACCTACCTACTTGCCTACCTACTTGCCTACTTACCTACCTACCTACCTAAATACCTACCCACGCACCCATAGGTACCCACTTAGCTACCTACCTACCTACATATTTACCTACCTACTTACCTGCGTACCTACATACCTACCTCTCTCCCAGCTACCTACCTACCTAAAGGTAACAACCTATCTACCTACCTTTCTATCTATTGCTTCATACAGTGTGAAATCTGTGATGTGGTTAATAATTGTCTTGGATAAACTTTAAAGATTGTTATCAATGGATGTTTTTCATGTGGGAATGTAACCACACGCCCATTCATTCAGGCAAAACTGATGTTGAATCAGTCATCGTGTCGGGAAACAAGTGTCTCAAATCCAGGCCTACTCAGTCTGGGGCCGTGACATCTATTCAGGACAGAGCACGTCAAGAAAACCAATCCAAGCATCTTCTTGATATCATGTTACAGTTTCTCATTTCCATCCAAAGCAAAACCAGATAGCCGAGGCGGTCTCGTGTTATTCTTTGGAGGGGTGCGGACAGCTTGAAGGTTAGAGAAGGGAGCTTGTGAATGGAAGATCTCTGTTTGGAAAAACCCGCCCTGTCTAGGAAAAGCAGAGAGGAAGTTGTTTTATGAAATCAGGGTGGATTGGACAGTAATTGAAACTTCTGTCTGACTGCCCCAAGTGAATGAAGACCGTGTGAACTTTTCATTACTTTCAAACATGCAGGAAAATCAGAGAACAAGAATCTACAATAACAACGTAAATCTATAATGTAAGCAGGTTGTAAGGTGATATAGGACATTTCAAGTGTTACATAATGTGTTTGTCAAATACTTATGAGAACTTATGTATAAATAATTGATAAACACACAATATAACTTTGCTGTAATCATATTAAATGATGTATGATTTCACACACAAGCAAATTCTTACAAAATCTTAAAGATGAAAATGGTTTAAATAGTTTATACATATTGACAAATGAGTCATTCACCAGTCTTCCACCACTGATTACTTTGGTAATAATCTTTTATTTGCTACATTTGATTCACAGGATATTTAAAATGTCCTTTATTCGCTTGTGACTATATTTTAATGAGTTACTGTATTAATAGTAATATCATAATTTGTTAATATTTAGTATTAATTGTGCATTTTCTTGTATTACTAATTAGGCATTAGTCAAACTAATAATGTTATGAGCAGACAGTGTAATGTATCTTAAACATGGCTCACAGATGTGCACGCTGGTTTGAATCCCATGTTCTGGAGCAGTTATAGTACCGGTACCACTGGCAACCAGGTCATACGATTCTGTACTTGTATCTCTTCCAGTTATTTTGCTTGTGGAGACCCTCATCCTCCAGCTGAGCTCGTCACTCAGTCGTACTTGCTGCTCCAGCGTCGACTCCTGCAGACATTCAGTATTTGATTACAGCAACAGGCTGATTGGATTACAGGAGGCACTGACTCAGATACCTGCAGCAAACACAGAGCAGCTTCCTGTCGGCCTGACGGAACACACTGACACCATCTGTTAAAAAGTCTCAGACAAAAGATGTTACCAAATATATAAACCCTTCAGCGACATCTCAATCGTCAGTGTCATCTCTTCACTTGAGGATTTTTTTTCTCTCAGACTGATGCTGTGAGACCGAGTCGTTCTGTTTAGTCTCAGCTCATCTCTACTTGGTGAATATTGTTGTTACATTATTTTCATTTGAAAATTCACACATCTTCAGATCAGTTCAATACCCTCCTAAGGAAAACACAGTAAGCACTAATGAGAATTGTCTCATTAAATGAGATATAACCAGGAACAATTATTGTTGCCATCACAACAACTCCTATTTGCCGGAACACTTCTCTTTGCTGCCCTCTTGTGGCAAAACCAGGTAACAAGCAGATGCAAAAGTCTTTTTATGAATGTAAAAAAATCTACACTGGTTTGAATGATGAATGGTTTGTATTTATGAAGCACTTTTCTCGTCTTGATGACCACTCAATGCGCTTTACAATATAGTTTGCCATCCACCCTTACAGTGCATCTATCAGCAAAATTTCCTTTTTTGGGAGGGGGTTTGAAGAATCATGAGGTTACTAGTTTGTACAAAACAAACAAGACATTTTTTTTATTAAATACATTTTATTACATAAATGACATTTGAGTTTTGACAGTCACGTCACAATTACACTGCTAAACAGGTGTTTTGGTTGAAGTGGAACTGAACATAGCCGTGCAGTACTTTGAGTCTCTCTTTCCATGTGTTTATGAATTTGTATTTCCAGACTTCATTGATGAGCCCTCTCCCCGTTTCCCGTCAGCCCCAGTTGCATTGGTCATCATCTTTAAATGTCAGGATGTCTGTGACCAGACCGGTGCCGATGGTTCTGTTTCCGTCTCTCAGGGTGAACCTCTGGCCTTTCTCCAGAACCATCGGCTGACGGAGCGTCAGAGTCAAGGACGTGTCCTCTCCTGGCATCACCATCTCCTGAAACAGGGCGAGTACCACAGGAGAGTGGTTACTATCCTTCAAAATCATTTAAAAACATGAGCAGCCTAGAAATACAGATGTTTACCATGGGGAAATGTATTTTAATATATTTACTACTGTCCTCACTGGGACAAATCAATATTGAAAGAAAAAGAAAAACCGAGACTTTTCATTCTCACAACTTGAAAGTACCAAAATACAGCTGAACTTAAAAAACACATGAAAACACATGTTACTCATTCACTATCTAGCAATCTTTTTTTTTTTTTTTTCTATTATAAGCAAGCTAAGTTTATTTATACAGCATTTAATTTAATTGCTTTTCAGGGACACAACAGTCTATCTCGTTATCTATTTGACCTGAAACATTGTGAAGTTATAAAAAGTACATGACACAGACACGCACCTTTCCTTCAGGGAGAATGACTTGACAGGTCATGTCCCAGGTCAGAGAGAACATGACGGGCATGAAGTTGTTGACGAACGGTTTGTGTCTGCCTCCCTCCTCCTTACTCAGAATATACACCTAAAAGGACACATCAAGGTTTCTGTTACTGCATCGTATAAGTTTCATCTTTCTTTATAAAACAGAATTAATCCAAATTTAAATTGGAAAACTCAACTCAAAGAAACTTATCTACTCTTTCTTAAAAATGTAGGAAACAGTGTTTAGTTCAGTGAATGACCTCGTGTCATCACTGCAGCATCTGGCCTGGCTCCCAGTTTGCCTTTGCCTCCAGGTAAGAATGAGTCATTTAGATTCACTGAGTGTTCAGAAATACAAGAAATGAATCATCTTAGTGCTCTGAGACCTGGGCCTTGACTTTCTGGTGCGGCATGATGGATCCTGGTTTACACATCACCATCCCTCTTCTCACATCCTCTCTCTTCAGGCCTCGGACCAGAGCGCCCAGGTTATCTCCCGCCTCTGCCCGATCCAGAGACTTGTGGAACATCTCGATACCTGAGCCCAGCAGGACATGGAAACCACAAGGTCAAAGGTCATGGTAGCGTGGAATGACAGATAATGACAGATCTCCAGTCCAACGGTCGCCCACTCACCTGTAACCACAGACTTGAAACTGCGATTGTGTCCCAAAAACTCACTTTCGTCTCCTTTCTTGATGATACCTCTCTCCATAGTACCCGTCACCACCGTTCCCCTGCCTGAAAAACACAATTGATAACTCTTGTGATCAGAGAAAACAATGTTTGGAGAAAAAAATCTGCAATCTTGAGATACAGCATTTTACATTTTATTATGTTTTGCCACCTAATGGTCCTCCAGGGCCTTTATTGGTATTTGTGTTAACTATGATTCATTCGTTAAGAGTATCATCAGAAGCTTCATATCAGTAAAACCTGTACAACCTAAGATAAAAGATTATGCAAGTCAACGAACCATAATAAATGATAAAACTACTAAAGTTGCTTTTTAAATGAAAATACAATTTTTGTCAAACTTCGCTAAATTAACATAAAACATATTAATCCAAAAGATTTCTAAATAGAGAAACATGAAGAAAGTTTTTCTATTTGAAGTTTTTCTTGATGGTTTTTATTTTAGATGGATTTGAACAGGATAGTTTCCAGAGGGTTTAACAGTTAAATACACGGTTAACTAATAAAATATACCACCGCCAATATTCCTTGATGAGGTTGAACTCACTGGATCAGTGTTAGTAAGAGCTGCATGTGCTTCTTCCATTTTTCTCCTACCTGGGATAGAATAAACCCCTTCAACGGGCAGGAGGAAAGGTTTCTCCAGCTCTCTCTTGGGCAAAGGGACGTAAGAATCCACAATCTCAAGCAGTTTCATCACTGCGTTAACACCCAGCTCAGGATCTTTGTTCTGAGGTGGAGCAAAGACAGAAAAATATTTCAGCGACATGTTTACATGTTTAGACAAATGCTGTGATGCAGCTGATTGATCAAACCCCACCAAGGTAACAGTAAAGGTCAAGTGAAAACAGCTAAACTCATCACATCAGCAGAGTATTCTCTTCACTGTGCGACAACATCGCTGACAGTATTCCCTCACCTCCAGGGCACAGAGGGCGGAGCCTATTACAACAGGCGTGTTCTCGCCATCATAGCCGAACTCCGTGAGCAGCTCGCGGATCTCGATCTCCACCAGCTCCAGCATCTCCTTGTCCTCCACGGCGTCTGCCTTGTTGATGAAAACCACCACGTGCTCGACGCCGATCTGCCGGGCCAGCAGGAGGTGCTCGCGTGTCTGAGGCATCTGGCCGTCGGTGGCTGCCACCACCAGGATGCATCCGTCCATCTGAGCTGTGCCTGTGATCATATTCTAAAGGAGATAAGAAGTCGTTACTTGGATAAGTTCACACGACAACAAGGCAGCGTCATATTTCAGTGTTTTGTTGAATGCAGGTGGGAAGAAAAATGGAGATTACCTTGACGTAGTCAGCATGACCAGGGCAGTCTGTGTGAGCGTAATGTCTGTTGGCCGTGGTGTATTCTACATGAGAGGCGTTAATGGTGATTCCTCTCGCCTTCTCCTCGGGGGCATTGTCGATGTCTTCATACTTTTTGTAGTTAGCACCGCCAGCATCAGCGAGAACTGGGGACGAGAGGTCACATCACTCAGAGACGTTGTGAGACATTAAAAAGCGACTATTGCTTTCAGGGCTGAACTCCCAAAGCTGCTTTCAGACACGCACTGCAGTCCAAACACTTTCCTAAAATGTTCCAGACGGGCTCTACGTGAGAACACAAATGTCCCAGTCAGTTGGTCAGAACATTTTCTTAAATTTTTCCTAGAATGTCTAGAAAATGTCCCTGTCCAACAGCAGGAAAATGTCAGGGGGAAGTGAATGATGATAGTGCTAAACTAGAAGAATATGAACATCTCGGGACATTTCCAGAAATTCTACCGTTGTCGCGAATGCGTCTGACTCAGACAATCTCTGGAGTTCATATCTGACAATAGCTTTAGATTATATCTCTGCACTGAGAAGCTAAAGAGCGACTCTACCTTTTGTGATGGCTGCAGTCAGGGTGGTCTTGCCGTGATCAACGTGGCCAATCGTTCCAATGTTCACATGAGGCTTGTCCCGGGAGTACGTCTTCTTCGCCTCCGCAGCAAAGGTCCGCCGGCTCAGGGGCACAGCACACTGCACGACAGAGACAAACCCGGGAATTAGGCTGTTACCAAAAAACATGAAACAGTGTGTAAACACGCAGTTTGGCCGCACACTCACAAATCTGAGGGAGCTGTGCAGGAGGCTTGGCTGAGAGAGCTGGAGGGCTGAGAAGAAAAGATTCAAACATTAGAATTATGTCAGATTAGCTAACGGCTGATTGTTTAACATGAAAACCCAGTGTAGTTGATCCGGTAATTCAAGTAGGATTATCTTGAGGTAAATAGATCATCACAGAACCACTGATTCATGACATCATCGATATCGTGGGACACGTATCACACATCGTACTGTACCGTGTGATTCCCTCTGCTATCCGTACACGTTTATTTGGAAATATAACAATTAAAATAGTCTGGCTTGGAAATGATCACATTCAACTACCAGATGACATTAATAATACAGATTCTCAATAATGATCTCTTTAGGTAAGAGTCCAATGAGTCCAATGAATTAAAACAAATCCCTGTCACGTCATTTAACATTCTTTCAAATAAGGATGAGCAGCCACAGCTTCTCTTTGGCTGAATGATTCATGTGCACCAGTGTAAAGTGAGAGTTCAGTATCACAGGATTAGTTTTGCAGGTAAAAGCAGCAGCTGACATGAGGCCAACGAATCCTCAGAGGCTGAAGGAAACACTCTCAGTGTCCTTCAGAGAACCCGTCATTACATGAACACTCGTGTGTCTGTCCAGCTGTTAACAACGTGAATATAATTCAAATAATCGCCCATCAGTCAGAGTTCATCCTCCTCGGCTCGATGCTAACGCTCCTGTAACGTGACCTTGCTGTCTGGAAGAGGCTGCATCCTCTTTTCTTTGCTCGCCCGCTTCGTTAGAGCGACAACGACATTTTGTATCAAACACAAAACGGGAGTGAGATCGATGCATCGACGGAGAAACACAAACATTCACAGAATCACAGAATTAAATCATTTTACCAGAGAAACATGCGCGCAATCCCACAAGCGCCGCCATCTTGGATTGTTAGACAAACCAAAGATGACGAAAAGATCAAGAGGAATCCCACTCGACTCTAAAGCGCAAAAAGCGTGTTTCCGGTACGCACTGCTACTACGACTGCCACTAATAATACAAAAGACTATAATGTTATTCGTGATAACGATGTGATATGTTGTGAACAGATCATGTAAACATTATTATAATCACGATGCCGATGGTAATTATCATTATTATTATTAAGAGCCAGAGCTTATTGCAGATGTTTTTATGTATTATTGTCTCAAAGTCTGTGACATTGCAGAGGAAGGACTTTAAGAGTTGGAGACTATTTATAGACACATGTTGCTTATTATATACAATTTTACACACATTTTAACAGAAGACAATATTAATGATAATCGTTTCTATTTGTATTCATGAAGAGGAAATAACTTTGGACTCTATTTAATCCTATCTATCGATCAATGATTATTATTATAACATGTACAACATGACGTTATAACAGTGGATAAATGTCTTTAAATAGTTTATGTGTAACTCGGATCCTCTGAACGTCTCGTCATGTTCTTCTCTCACTGTCAGTGAAACTCTCTGAACGTCACTCGTGCGAACGTCACTGATTAACCGTAATCACGCTGATAGTTGCGCTGATATTTTTGCTGTTGTGGCTCATGACAATGTTTTACTGTTGTAATTTTAACTACTATATAATTCTGAGCGACTCAATTCAAGCAGAAAAGTGAAGACTGAAAATACTCTGAGATGAGGAAGAATACGTGGCAAAAAACGTTTTTAACTGCGGGTTTGCTTTAGTATTTACGTTAAAGATGGCCGCCTCCATGCCACTCGTGAGATCAGCTTGCTCGAATATTCTGGATCCTTCATGAGTCTGAGTTTCCAGCTTTATATTCAGTCTGCGGGCTACAGCGGTTTGTACAGTTGTTTGTAAGTTGACAGAGAAGCCGTGTGTCCTTTTATTTAACTCCGCTGTGTAAGGTAGGTGGATAATAAGTGAATTTTGCTCATAGCCTTCCATGTTGCCTGTAGTAAGACTATTTAATGGCCTGTTAGATTTAGCAAGTTGCTGTTGTTATTGTCACGATCACTGGAGTAAACAGGCGAACTTGTGGATTGAGATCAGAAGTTGAGTTTATTTAAACATCTTGTTATTGCCTCTCTCTCCTCAGGTATATTCATTATGGCAGAAAACAATCAGAACAGGAGATATCCCCCAAACCTCCAGGGGGTCCTGCAGCTGGCAGTGGAGGCTGGATCAGCTGCAGAGGGACCTGCCCCCGTTGAACCCATGTCAGAGGAGGTAAGATTCAAGATTCAATACTTAAAAATACACTACAATACTAAAAAGTCAGTGGTAGTATTACTTTGCTTTGATTTGATGCTTGGTAATTATAGATTTCAAACATGAGAAGGCTTTAGACATATACTGCACCAGAGACACACACACTTCGTTAGGTACAGACTTTTGGTAAATTATAAAAGACAACAATTCTCTGACTGTAAATGTTAATAAACACAATCCTTAGCCGTGGCACCGAGCACAAGTATTCTTTTGTGCTCTAATAATTTTGAAGCCATCATACCAGCATAGTGCAACATGTTTACCGTTGTTTACAAATTGCCTATCAAAGTCCTTTGACACAAACAAAACTAATGAGGGGAGATACAGAGGCTTGAATCCTCCGGCCTTTGCACATGTCACACTGAAGACGGCCTCTTCTTTAGATTGATTACTATATTATTTTTGGACCTGTAACGTGTAATGTAATCAAAGGTAACTGAGAACCATTTTCACACTTGTCCTTTTGCTCCAGAGGAAAACGTTTCTAAGAGAAGCTCTCGCAGAAGTTTGCAGAGGTCAGATGGATGAAGTGGAGCAGATGAAGCAGTGCCTGGCAGTTCTACACAAAGAGGAAAAGAGCGAAAGTGAGAGGGAGGGAGAGGAAGAGGAGGATGAAGATGAACGGGAATCAGCCTTTGAGGTGTTAACGGAGTTGTGTGAGAATTTGGACAATGCCAGAGGTTCGTTTCAATCAGTACAAGATTTGATATTCTCCAAGCAGAGCTTAAATTGGAGAAGTTATAAGGAAGCTATGAGCTCTGTCCTGACCGTGTCCCCCCTCTCTCTCGGCCTCACAGACCTGATGATTCTAGGTGGACTGGATTTGTGCCTGTCCCGGTATCTGTGTCATGTCCAAAGTGGGCTGAGGTGGCGTGCTGCTGAGCTGATTGCTTCCTGTGCTCAGAACATGCCGCAGGTGCAGGTCCACCTGCTAAACATCGGGATGCTGCCAAAGCTGCTGCAGCTGACAGACTCAGACCCTCACCCCACCGCCAGAGTAAAAGCCCTCTATGCCGTCTCATGTGAGTATCTCACGTGATCTCTGGCACACACAGGTAGAAGGTGCTGCAGCAATTCATGAATGAACACTTAAAGTAAATTGAAATGCTATCTGAGGGTTTACAGAGACTGATTTTCACTTTACACCTCAGAATATAACCAACTGTATCCTGTTGTGACTTTAGGTCTAGTCCGAGAGCAGGAGGCAGGACTCCAGGCATTCCTGACCCTCGATGGTTTCTCAGTGCTGATGCGAGGCATGCAGTCGGACAATGAGAAGCTCAGGACCAAGTCGGCTTTCCTGCTGCTCAACCTGCTGACATCACATCCTGAACAGAAAGGTATGAAGGAGAGAGACAATGCTGTCAGTAGTAAAAAGCTGAATCAAAGTTTTAGCCTGATGCTAATACATGGGAAATGCAGTGAAAGGATATATGTTTGTGTGTATGTTTATATACACGATGTAATCCAGACCTCCTTCAAAGATATATATCATGAAGTTATTTTCAAATTATGTTTAAAATGTTGGTGTGTATATATATATAGATATAGACTTAAACTCTTTTTTCATATTGCACTTACTACTTTAGGTAATTAATTTGTCAAACAATAAAATTCACCTGTGCTTAAAAGTAAAACTTATTAAGATTTTATTAGGTAAACATTATAGCACATATATAATATATATATATAATTTGATGTGTCTCTCATTTTCCTTTTTTATTGTGTAAAAACTAAAACCTATTTGTGCTCTGATCCATCCTGCAGACACTGTTGTCTCCATGGGAATGGTACAGCAGCTGGTGTCTGTTCTCCGCACACCACACTCCCCTTTCCATGAACATGTACTTGGTGCTCTCTGTTGGTAAGAAGCACTGTCGACCTGACAGTCCTCAGCCCTGAGAAGTTTACGTGAATGTATCGTTCACGTTATTGAGTATGGCCTCTCTCTGTTTCTGTTCATGTAGTTTGGTGGAGGACTGTCCACAGGGGCTCAAAGACTGCAGGAATCCTGCTCTGGCTCTGGAGGAGCTGCTCAGACAGCGAGCCAAAGAGCTCCAAGGAAAAGAAGAAAGTCAGGTAGTTTGAACTTCAGAAAAATACAAAGTCAAAACTGTCAAAGAAAGTATTGTAATGATTCAGACCTGGAATCGTGTTTCTTTATTTTGCCTTTTTCTCCCGCAAAATTAGGCAGAATAAATATTATAGAGAATTTCAAGGTGCTTTAGCCTTAATTTGAGGGAGATGTCATGTCATCCATGTTTATATAAAGTCTAGAAAGAAAATATTGATGATATGATATATTTTATTTAACTAGCAGGCTTAATTTTTGTCCAGCAAATATGTTTTAAAGTCATATTTTTGTTTACAACAGGAAGAGCTGGACTTCTGCGAGCGTTTGAGGATCATATGTTTCCGTGGGCAGAGGTCAGATGACAATGGGATGGATCGCTGAAGTGTTGTTCACCTTATGTAACAGAACATATTTCCTGCACTGCGTCCTGTTTGGATACATCCTTCTCTATTACCACAGTTGTTGTCCACATACTTTGTGTGTACTCCATAAGTAGGATTTTACTCTGTAAATAACTGTCATGTATAAAATACTTTTTTTTTCAGTCAGCTGTCACTTCAGTTTCTCATGTCTTAAATATATTACCTGTGATCTGCATTATAGGTAGTATCATGATGATATCTATGTTTAATCTTAAATCAAATTTTAAACAGATTAAAGTAAAGTATTATTATTTATTTTCTGTTTGTTTTTTAAAACTTGACACAAAAGTACAGACACCCTTGTTTAATTTTATACCATATTTATTTATTATTAGCAAAACAAATGGGAGTATTTATATACATATAATGGCCCGTTAACAAGTGGGAAACAATTTGCACAACTTACAATAAAACGCTGATTAAAATATTGGCACAAATCACAGAGTACATGTTATTGTTAACATGCAGACATATGTGTTGTATGATTATTGAAATTCAATTTAGAAACACATAAGGTATCTCGTGTTGCAAGATGCTCTTTTGCTTCATCGTTTCTAGTTGTAAACCTTGACTCAAGGAGCCATCAAGTGGGAACTGTCCTCAATGAGTTCATCTCGCTCTTTCCCTTTATTTAAAAATAATTCCTACATTTACAAAACATATGCAATGGTAGCATCAGGACCAAATAAGTAAATGTGAGGATGATAGTTCAGACTTTAGGGATTCCACAGGGACGCTGTCTAGGACCTCTTCCATTTTCCAAAATCCTCCTTGTTCGCTGTTGCTTTTACATCACCAACAGCGATTAGTAGCTGTGCCAAATAGTAAGTCACCATGACAACACTGTGTCCATGCTGTAGCTGTGGCGTGACCTTGAAAACTTGCAGGGCCAGTGCCAAATCAGACACCATGAAAGACAAACTTCCCAGCAGTGTTGCTGTATGGCGCGTTCTAATAGCTAACATCCCCATTAGAGTAATCAAGACAATATAGACCCCCACACCAGGAATGAGTAGATCTGAGTCCGGTGCCTTCTGCAAGAATGGATATAGGTGCATGTAGGTGCCTCCTCCTACCATGAGCAGGATTAGAAACAGGAAAAAAGTCCAGGAGGAAGAGGAATGTGTCGAATAACGACTGGAGAGGAAGGTCAGGGAGTACGTCAGATGAGCCAGGGCAAATGCACCCATTCCTGAAACAGATGTGTGAGACATACTAAGATAAATTACTAAAATGGAATAAAGTGCAGCTTTTATCTCAGTGATTGTTCACTGCATCTAGAAAATTGCCATTTGTGCTTCTCTTACAAACCAGACTTACCATGCACAAACAGCTCAGGCCATATCAAGCAGCAGTCACCTACAGCAGAGAAAAGCAAGCCTCCCGCCACACCCAGGACACTTTGTCCTCCATTCCAGCTCAGCACTACAGCAGCCAGGAGGAAAATTGGTGCCGTTTTGAAACCTGCAGACACGATGGACGGGGGCGAGTCAGGAGACCACAGGTAGAAGAACAGAGCTGTGGACAAAAAGAAAGGCAAGAGAGAGAAAAGCAGGGCACAGGACTGAGAGGGAGGGAGGAGTGGAGAGAAAGAGGAGGACACGTCACAACTGAAAAGACTATAAAGTAATTTTATGTCCAGAGACTGTAAGAAAGAGTAAAAGGTTTCTGATGTACCATATTTCTCCTCTGCCGCCTGTCGTAGGCTGCTGTCTCAAGGATGTCCATCTTCTCAGAGTCAGCACTGACGTGGGCTCTCAGACAAAGAGAGAACGAGTGGAGGAACTTGTTATTTTCTTCTTCTTCTTCACCTATAATCTGTAATGTTCTCGTTTCGTTCTCCTGTTCCCCTCGTCTCTATATCTCTGCCGTGTCTTTCAGTCTCCTGGTATTTCACAGCACTGAACTTTAGACTGGTGATTCTTGTCTGATAGCTGTCTGATAATCAATCCTCATTTTGAGTTCTTATGGACCTTATGGACTGCTGACCTTTGACCTCTCTGGGCGGAATACATTTACATCAATACGCAGAGGGCAAAGTTGAATTGAGCAAATAACTGGGAATAGCAAACTGCCACATATGATAATTTCGGTTTTCTAGCTTCGCATTTGTTAGATTGTTCATTTTAAAGACATGTTTACATGGATTTTGGATTATGGCCACACTGGGTCACATTTCTCCAAAAAGGCCTCACTGCATTATTTTGCAGTAGAAGAGCTGCAACAACAGAGCTATAGACAAAAAATAATAAAAAACACAGTTAAATTGTGCATGTGGGGGCAAATGAAGTAAAGACAAACATGCTTATCAAAAGGCAATATATGTAGTTTAAGAATAATTTGAAGTAAGTCACACAGGGTAGATTCTTTCTGAAAGCATCTGAAGCTGAAATTGTTAAAGCAGGAGGAGGAGGAACCCTTCGTGCGTGAGATAATTCTACAAACTGAAGAACGGACAATAATTAACTACAGCCTCTCAGATTCAAACTTTGTACTCTGCTTTCCCACAATTCCCTTGAGTTGTAGGCCGGTGGTTGTGCTTCACCCTGAGAGACTCAGGAGCTCAGAGCTCAGGAGGTGTGTGGGATTATCGGGTGAGTAGAGCAATAAATAGTTACGCTGGTCAAGAGGCGCTCAAGAGAGATGAGATATAGTGTTAGGTTTAATGCAGCTGTGTCTGTGTGTGTGTGTGTCTGTGTGTGTGTCTGTGTGAGTGTGTGTGTGCGTGTGTGATTGCGCTTTTATTAGTTTGCTTTCCCTGCACAGGACATGGACACCAGTGGCTCTTTGCTGCGGATTGGAGTCGTAGGATTTGGACATTTAGGTTGGAACTGCTTCTCCAAACTCAAGACACCGTTTTCCTTTAATTCATAAATCCTTATTCAATTATAACAATCTGTTATCAGCCATGAAATTGTCTAAGTCTCTGTGTGTGTTTGTTAGGACAATACCTGGTGGAGAGGATCCTTAAAGATGGCGCAGCTCTCAGTTTGACTCTGGCTTTTGTTTGGAACAGAAATACTGACAAACTCAAAGGATTAGTTCCTGATGAACTCATACTCGCCGATCTATCATGTTTTGCAGACAGGTGTGCGCACACACAATAAATGCATATGCAAAACACACACACTAAGCATTTCATGTACGATACAGACGTGTGTGATGCTGTCTGACGTCTTCCTAAAACTTGAATGGATAATCTGTGTGTTCTTTACAGGCGATGTGATGTGATTGTAGAAGTTTGCCATCCTCAGATAGTGAAAGAATTTGGACTCCACTTCCTGTCTCAGTCTCATTTCATGGTAGGATTCTCTGTCTGATTACTGACTTAAGTTATTATCAACCTGGAGAGAGCGGCTTCTATTGTATTGGACTTACACTGTCTGTATGAGAGAATTTAACATCAGATCCATGTATAATCTATATCGCTCATCCTTTGAGGGTCACAAGGGGGGGGGCTGATGCCAATACCAGCTGACATTGGGCGGGGGGTTGGTGAAAATGAACGCATGCTAAAGTAAACTGTTGCTGAATTAAACATCTTTAAGTGTTTCTCCTCCTCTCAGGTGGGCTCCCCCTCTGCCCTCTCTGATCCTGATCTGAACACGAGGCTGCGTCAGGCGGCTCAACAGTACGGCAGAACACTCTACGTCCCCAGTGGTGCATTGTGGGGAGGCCAGGACATCCAGAGGCTGAATGACAGTGGAGCCTTAAAGGTAACACTGGATAGAAAGGCAGGATCTAGTCTTGTGGATGTGACTCGGCACATTGTCCTGAAAGTCTCATGAATGTGAATGTGTTTCTCCTCTCTGCTCCTTTTCAGGCATTGTTTATAAGAATGTCCAAGCATCCGTCCTGCTTCCGGCTGACAGGAGACGTCCTCTCTGATTGGACGGAGGGAGAAGGCAGGCGGGTTTTGTTCGGGGGCTCGGTGGCAGAGTTGTGCCCACTTGCTCCTAACAATGTGAACACCATGGCGGCGGCAGCGGTGGCAGCAGGAACACTGGGCTTCACAGGGGTTCAGGGGGAGATTGTGTCTGACACAGCGTGAGTTTCCTACTAAAATGTGATTGACCCAATGCAGCCTTTCACATCTGAATCCTTCCACTGTCTTCTCCAGGTTGAGTGACTATCACGTGGTGGAGGTGGAGGTGACGGGGCCAAATGGCTTCTCAGTACACACAGTGAGGAGAAATCCAGCCAGACTCGGAGCTGTAACTGGCAGTGCAACATACAACTCATTCTGGAGTAGTTTACTTGGTGAGTCCTCAAACTTTTTCCCAAAGATCCAGACACCTTTTTATCATTTTAACAGTTTCCCCACAAAACCAGTCACTGATACAAACAGATCACTTTGGATGCAATGGATCACACTTTATATATTTGTTTAATTGAAAATGTAATACCCTTGAAAAGTGACTACGACTTTCAAATAAATGTAGAAGAGTGGAAGTATAATTGTAAGTGCTCATATCAATACCAACTCAAAAGTGTAATTAAGTACAGTACTTGAGCTGATGCTTGAGTCCTCGGTTCGGACCTGGCCCTTTGCTGTGTCCTCCTCTATTCTCTCTCCCCATTTCACGTGCACTGCCCACTGAAAAATAATACAATAAATAATAAATATTATAAATGTATGTTTCTCAGTGTGTAAATAAGTGATGTGTGAATGAGAATTTGATTTCAACCCAGATTTTCTTGTTTTTTTCAGCTTGCAAAGGTCACGGGGGCCGAGTTTACTTGTGCTGAAGCAGTGGATGACTCCGGATGATAATCAGCAACAAGAGGATCCAGTGGGATCAATATGTTACTAGGAACTTGATATTTTGTGTTCCAATAAACTGGATGCACACAGAAAGAGTCAGTTATCATATGTAAAACAGCAACAGACCATATATATATATATTCAAACTTTATTAGAAGTTCTTCTGGTGCATGTTGTGAATGATAAAACTGTTACAAGAAGTGGGGGGGTATGCTGGTAAAACAATTTTCCTTCTTCCATAACAAACAGTGAATACGTATTCAAGCTCCTCCATTCGTCTCATGTCTCTCACAAGAAAACATGGCTGGCACCACAGGACACAGCTTTACTCTGTCTCAACTCTTTTTTTTTTTCACAAATAAATACGTTCAGAAACAGGAGAACCCGGGAGAATCCATCCCCGCTAAGAGCACACACACAGACATACACAGGAGTGTGAGGTCGTCACTGAAAGGCGGTGATACAATAAGGCACGGAAATAAAGAGGAAAACACACACACACGACACTATTCGTGCAATGTTGTGTTTCGTGTGTGTTTTACATTTTGTTTCCATAGTGGGAGGTCTTGTGGTAAACAAGGCATTACAAAGACAGAACAATATTCTACTATAAAAGGTGAACAGTTGAGTTTGAAGCACTGAATTACCGTCAAACTTTTAAGCCGAACAAGGGTGAAAAGAATGGCTGCTATTTGTGGCTACAACAGACACCGTCTTTTAGCTGGAAAGTAATGGTTCCTGCTTTCCAAGGGGAGTTCTGCTGTTTTTCCTTTCACTCATGTATTTAAAACCCGCCTCCAGAGACTCATAATAATCGTACGTTGTTTAAATGTTTTCGACCTATCGGTGTTATCCAGTGTTAGTAATCTACAAAATCCAGCAATTCTGACTTTTTTTTTCCCCATGTTGAGCTGTTGACTAACTTTTTTCTAGCTGTTGCATTTACTCCTCAAAGCAAACCACTGCTTTCACTGCTGGTGTAACTGAGATAAAAACCCAAAGCAAATCAAACTGACAGACTCTTAAAATTTTGAGGTATGCACAGTTCGGGAAGACACTGACACAAATACAGCTTTTCACATCAAGCCAATATTAAATTTATCACTCGCATTTACAGCTTTCCTCATTTATAACATCTGCGAGTAAGTTGATGACTGTAATTACGTTATATTGGTGAGGTTTAACATGTTTTGTATGAGTGAGTGTGTGTCTCAGTTTTTCTCATCCAAGACACCATTGCTGTCGCCATTGGGCCCATAGACAGCAGAAGACTTGTTTTTGAATGGCAGGGTGTAGGGCTGGCGGATGTTCACGCGGTCCTTCTCTGCCTCCAGATCCTCGTCGTAGCGCTCGTCTTCATCGTTGTCCTCTGCCTCGCTGTGGTGCGGGGAGGAGTGGCGGGACAGAGAAGGAGATGGCGGCACGGATGCAGGTCTCGGGTAGCGGAAGCCTGAGGTCTGAGGATGAGAACAAAGACGCCGGGAAATTCCATCAGATGTAATAATAATGTCAAGTAAATCTCCCATCCAAAGAAAAAAACAAGCTAACTTACTGGGGTTGACTCGTGAGGTTCATAAAGGTAAGTGTCAGGGAAGGCTTTAGCCAGGGCCATATGACGAGCCGCAACATAATACTGATGCAGAGCAGAAGATAACACATTAACATTTCAAAACTGTTGCATGATTTAAGTTCACCTATGGGATTTGTAATCTCACCCTGCCGAGGTATTTCCAATCCAAGAGGTCACTCAGGCGCTCTGTGCGGTTCCTCTGGATGATCCGCTGGCGCCGACTCTGCTTGCAGAACTGGAACAGGAAGGAGGTGAGCTGGTTACACGACTCATCGACCGCCCGAAGCCGCCGGTCAAGGATGTAAATACCTGCAAAAGAACAGCGTGATGTAAAAGAGAGAATCGTTTTTTTTTTGTTTTTTTTATAACCAAAAAACTGAAAGTAAGTGAGAAAATGTACAAAGAAACGCACCATACGCTGAGGGGTCTGCTATGTGCTCCTCCATGAAACAGCCAAAGCCTGACAGGTTAGTTGAGATCGATGGAATTCCCATAACTGTGCACTCAGCTGACAATGACAGAAGCAGAAAAGTCGGATTAACATTTTAATGTCATATATACGAGTACATACACCTCGTCAACATGCGTGAGTCATACCAGGTGTGTAGCCCCAAGGCTCGTAGTAAGAGGGAAAGACACCGAGGTGGCAGCCTCTCACAAACTCCTCATAATCCATCGGAAGTAAAGGAGAGGTGGACGAGAGGAACTCTGGATGGAAAATGATCTAATGGACAGAGATGCTGTTTAATAATATTGCCACTGACTGTACATAAAGATGGACGACATGATGGCTCCACAAAAGTGAAACCAACGTGTCTCCATCACCACCTGGTGGTTGGCTGCAGCATAAGTCATAAAGCCTGTCTTCTACTAAGTCAAAGAACTGGTAAAATATGTATCTTATGAGTATTTACCATAACAGACACTGTGATTAGCATATTCAATCACACTGTAGATTGAACATTATTAGTTTTGTTTATTTCTCCCAATTGAAAAAACATAAATACCTCAAATGTAAGAATCTTTTTTTCTTTTAGTCTATTTTTTTTTTTTTTAACAAATGACACACCTTGACACGGTCAGCAGAGCTGTTGAAAAGGCCGATGCGGCGGACACAGTTGAGGATGGGGTCGCTGCTGTCCTCCAGCATGTTATGAGTGCAGATCGGAGGCTGGCCCTGTCTCTGGGTCGCAAAGATGGCACGCTTCATTATGGTGAAATCCTCTTTGTCCAGCATCTTTGATATGTCTGGCAGCTGCCCACTGAATAAAGCAAAATGTTATAGACTTTAAGATTAAAGGAAAGAAGTGAAATGATAAGCTTGAACATTTGTAAAAAGTGTAACTGGTGACATCAAGTCTGCATTTTTTATTGAACTCCCACTTCTGATAGGAAACATTGATCTGCTTTATCTACTCTACTATATACATTTCTGTGTAGTGGACTGAAAGTGGTGGAACTTACACCAGAAGTGAGTCATACAGTTTCTTTCCGAAGCGTTCCTTCACAGTCTGAGCAGTATCCCTGTCACATACAAACATAAACAGAGTGTCACGATCATAAGACAACTGCAGATACCTTTCCAGGTTGAAATCAAGGTGAGGCAAGATCTTTGGTTGTCTGACTAAAATTCTACATTTTTACTTAAGCCGTTTACAGACATAACTCTGGAGAATATCCAGAAAATTGGGTCGGCGTCTTCTATGTGTATAGAAGTATTTTTTTATCCAAGATATTTGTATTCTTCCAGTTTTGCATTTTTCAAATGTTAGAAATGTTATCAACTCACTCACTGTGAATTTTAGACATTTTGCCAACATTTTACTGGGGGGGTTTGCAGGATAAGTTCCGAAAAAAAGTGACTTGGACATTTTGCGATGTACAGCTGACTCCAGAGCATGTCTGAAAGCAGCTGCAGATCCTTCATCTTGTTGAACATAACCTCACCAGAGCTGTTTCCTGACTGCCTGGCCCTTTAACGTCTCCACGTTGAAGTTGTTTGTCCGAGCTGGCATGATGAAGAAGGCGATGACGGTCACATCGCTGTGGTTGACCTGCGACAGGAAAGCCAGACAAAAACAGAAGTTACATTTCTTGACCTAGGATTCAAATTTCTCCTCCTCGCTCCCACACACAAACAAACAAACCAATGCTTCCAATACATCTGTTAACACATCAACACACACACTTACTCTCAGTAGATAGTTGAGTCTGGCTAAAGCCTCCAAGAAGATGTCGGCTCCTTTGTTGGAGAACTCGTACCTTCCAGCGATGAAGAGGAACAAACACTTGTCCAGGTTGAAGTCGAGGTGCCTAATGGTCAAAACAAACCAAAATCTATCACATAACATGGATGAATGCAGTACTGACATTATTTCTGTTTTTGACAAATGAGCAATGAAGAATATAACATTTTTTTAAGAAACTGTTTATTTCTACAACAGAACATACTTATTATATGTTGCACTGTATTTACTGTCAGGTGGCACA